CAACAAGCAGCTGCCCTGCTGACGTGCCTCTGAGCCAAACATCCTGCAGACACTGAGACCCTCAGACCCACAGACCCTAAAGATGACTTTACAGACCCTACTGACCCTGTAGATTAACCTACAGACCCTGTAGATTAACCTACAGATCCTTCAGACCCTTCAGACCCTACAGACCCTGTAGATTAACCTACAGACCCTACAGACCCTTCAGACCCTACAGACCCTACAGACCCTTCAGACCCTTCAGACCCTGTAAATTAATCGACAGACCCTTCAGACCTTACAGACCCTGTAAATTAACCTACAGACCCTTCAGACCCTACAGACCCTGTAAATTAACCTACAGACCCTTCAGACCCTACAGACCCTTCAGACCATTCAGACCCTTCAGACCCTTCAGACCCTACAGACCCTTCAGACCCTACAGACCCTTCAGACCCTGTAAATTAATCTACAGACCCTTCAGACCCCACAGACCCTGTAAATTAACCTACAGACCCTTCAGACCCTTCAGACCCTACAGACCCTACAGACCCTGTAGATTAACCTACAGACCCTTCAGACCCTACAGACCTTACAGACCCTAAAGATGACTTTACAGACCCTTCAGATCCTGCAGACCTTACAGACCCCACAGACCCTGCAGACCCTACAGACCCTACAGACCCTTCAGACCCTACAGACCCTACCCACCCTTCAGACCCTACAGACCCTTCAGACCCTGTAAATTAATCTACAGACCCTTCAGACCCTACAAACCCTGTAAATTAACCTACAGACCTTTCAGACCCTACAGACCCTTCAGACCCTGCAGACCTTACAGACCCTTCAGATCCTACAGTTGACCATACACACCCTGCAGATGACCCCACAGACCCTGAAGAAGACCCTACTAACCCTGCAGACGACCCCACAGACCCTCGAGACCCAACAGACGACTTCACAGACCCTGAAGACAACCCTACAGACCATACAGATGACTCTACAGACCCCACAGACCCTGCAGATAACCTTGACACCCTGCAGACCCTACAGACCCCATAGACCCTGCAAATGACCCCACAGACCACACAGATGACCCTGAGACCCTGCAGACCCTAGAGACTACTTCACAGACCCTGCAGACCCTGTAGACACTGCTGCAGGCTCTGGTAGAAACTGATAGACTGAACACTGATGTTGTTGCCTCTGGCTGTAGTGCTGTTAGTCAGTGGCCTAGTTATGTTGCCCTCTGTGTGTGTGTGTGTGTGTGTGTGTGTGTGTGTGTGTGTGTGTGTTTCCCTCCCACAATAGAGTTCTTTGTTGTTGATCTAACCTACATGATTGCTGGCCAAAGCTTTACTGGACCAGAGAATTAACTGGAATTCTTCTGTGTGTGTGTGTGTGTGTGTGTGTGTGTGTGTGTGTGCGTACGTACGTGTGTGTGTGTGTGTGTGTGTGTGTGTGTGTGTGTGTGTGTGTGTGGCATTATGACTCTGACTCAGTGTGTTAGTCCGTCCTATTCTTGCTGTCTAACCATGAAGCACCACAAGCTTTTGTTCCTACTTGATTTTTTCTTTTCTTCCAGAAGTGTGACTCCTCCACAAATATACGTTTACTGGTGCGGCTCATAACAGGAAGTGTGGGGGAAAAAAGATATAAATATGATTCTGAGGCCACAGTCCATCCACATTAAGACTGTTAAATATATAAACACATCTTTTCCTCTCAGTTTCAGACTCAAACTGATAAAATCTTGAAACTCCAGCTCAGTGTTTGAGTGTGTCTGAGCTGACATGAGCTGAGCTTTTGGTAAACAATGATGTAAGCTGCTCAGTGAGGGTGGAGCTGTGAGACTGTGAAGTTAAGATGTCAGACTCAAGTTGTTTCTAACCCTCTCTGAACACTCACACAAAGTCACAACTATGAAATACATATCTTTATCATCACCACAGCACCGAAATCACTTTTCATACTTGTTTTGTTGTTGGACAACAGGAACAGAAAATATGTTGTGAACTGTGCTGCATTAAAACAGAAGCAGGAGGAGACTGAATGGAGGTTTAACACTCAGCAGAGGAGCAGAAAACAATTTCAGAAAAGTGACTGAAGGACTGAGCGATTTAACGACTATGTACAATATAGTTATATATTTTCAAGCAAGATATAAATTTAGACAACACCGTTTATATAGGTATACCCCAAGTTGCTGCTCCTCTGTTTAATCTGTCTGTTCATTAGTCTACAGTGTGACATCAATCTGTATGTTGCACATGCTAAGCTTAATCAGTCTGTGAGATGAATGAAGTTACTGCAGCAGCACACGTACAACTCTGGGAGGCAAATTGCGTTTCCATTATCAGTTTAGACGTGCCGAGCCACACCAGAGATGGACCTTCTCCGCAGTAGGTCCAAAAGCCGGGCCTCCTGCCCTCAAGCAGGTAGCGGTGATGTCTCGCCGACTGCAGCCAACATCCGATGACCCTGCTTTTCCCTCTCAAACAAGCCGTGTGTGTTTTGAGACTTTCCTCACCTCTGTCTGCAGGAGACCAGAGAGAAAGGTGTTTAAGAAGTCGTACTGAGAGTGTGTTCATCTCTCAGTACGTCTGTAGCTTCTGACAGAATCTCCGTGGTTTGGAGTTTAGTTTCTCTCCTTCGTCCTGTTTTTACTTCCACCTTTATTCTGACACCATCCTTCAGATAATTATGTCTTTTATTTAAAGTGATTTAAAATCAGATTTTGGACTCAGTTGAGCGTCACAGCCTCACAGAGCTGCTGTCGTAGCTGTGGATCGTTTTTCATCATGTGACCGTCGACATGAACTAATTTCTTTGGTTCAGGGTTGAAGTCCTCCATTGACAAACCAAAACACAAAGAGACAAAGAGTCTGTTGCTATGGTTACAGTGCTGTTAGGATGGTTACTAGCTGGCACAAACACTTGGCATCATGACCAACATAATTACATGTCAGGGAAAAAAACATCCGATTTGTTTTTCTGAACTCTTATGTTTTTAACCCACAGTGTGGGATGGTACCAGAATACTGCGGCCACTGCTTTATCAGTCACACAGTTTTTTGTTTTTTTTTTAATCCAGCAGCTGACGTTTGTCATCAGGCCGGAGTTTCCCAACTTGATGGAAAATCCCCTACATTTCCTCCCTGTCTGCCCATAACATGCCAAACCAGGCTTAAATATTTATCTGCCTCTTATCTGTGTGCTGTGTCAGATCTGTGTGGGACCTCTGCTTTTGTTTCAGCAGCCACTCACAGAGCTCGCTGGTGTTTTTGTCTTTGAACGCAGCATAAGTTGAGCCAGCTGGCACCAGGCTGAGAGCAGGGCGGGGCCGGCTGCTGGCTGCCTCCTCATTACTACACATACAGACACAGTGTGGATACAGGACACTTTATATACTCTATGGACTGTGGGATTGATCTCGTTAACTGGAAACTGATTAATGAAAATAAAACTGTCCACTGAAAGCTGAAAGGTTATATATATGTATGTATATGTCATGAGATCAAATTGACTCAGTTTCTTCTCAGTTAAGTGTCAGTTTTCAGTGACATTTTGATTGTTTCAGTTTAGTTTTTATTGTTTAATAATGTTTAGTTTAAGTTGAGTTTCATTAGTTAGTGACGGCTGTGACTGGAGGCATTATGTTTACTAGATGTCCATTCATCCATACATACATATGTCCGTACCATGCTTGTGAACAAGATATCGCAAGAATGCCTCAAATGCCCACTTGGACTCAACAATCAACTGATTAGTTTTTGATGGTTATAGGTCATAGGTCAAAGGTCAAGGTCACTGTGACCTTGTCTGTCTCATTCTTGTGAACGCAATATCTCAAGAACACCATGAGGGAATTTCTTCAAATTTGGCACAAAGGTTGACTTGGACTTAAGGATGCGCTAATTTGTTTTTGGAGATCAAGGGCTAAGGTCACTGTGACCTTGCATCTGTCTCATTCTCATTAAGGGAATTCCTTTTTTTTATATTTGACACAACTGTCCACTTGGACTGAAGGATAAACTGATTTGAATTCAGTGGTCGAAGGTCCAAGGTCAATTTCAGTGTGACCCCACAAAACATGTTTTCATAACTCAAGAATTCCCACGCTAATTATGACAAAATTTCACACAAATGTCTAACAGGATAAAATAATGAAGTGGTGACGCTTTATATAGAAAGGGTCAAAGGTCAATTTGACTGTGAAATCATAATGTTCTGCATAAAACACTTCATGGGCAGTTATTCAGTGTCATATTTCAGGAACAGAAGGGGAGACATTTGGTCAGATACTGAATTGGTGACTCTAATCTTGAAACTGTGCTGATTGTATAGATCTTCAGTGTGTAAAGCATCCATGTTTTGACAGACATGGATGGAAACTGTGGCAGAAACTTGACTGGCGAGCGGAGGCAAACAACCACGGGGAAGTAATTCTAGTTATTTTTATTTCCTTTTTAATTTTTGTTTTCAGTTTGGTGTCAGTTTCCAGGGTGGGTTTGCTTGTTTCAGTTGAGTCTATTGTTTAAAAATGTTTAGTTTTAGTTTTGTTTTTATTAGACCCTGTGGTGAAGAGGGGAAGGGGGGTTGTAGCCTCTCCTCCTGAAGTCCCCAACCATCTCCTCGGTCTTCTCCACACTGATGCAGAGATTGTTTGAATTTGCACCAGTCCACAAGTTCTTTCACCTCTGGCCTGTCCACAGTCATTGTTGGAGGTCAGTCCAACCACAGCCGTGTCAGCCGCAGAACAATCACATGTGAGGAGCATATACAGCAGGGGGCCCAGGACACATCCCTGTGGGGAGCCGGTGTTGAGTGTGATGGTGGAAGATGAGATGCCATGGGTCTAAACAGACTTTTGACTGTTTGTCAATAAGTGAAGGACCCAGTTGCAGAGAGATGGTGTTAGTCTTGGACTTTTGGATTTTGGACTCTGTGTTCTACGACAATTAATATTCATCAGTAATGATTATATTAATTATTATTCTCTCTTTGTCTCTTTGCAGATGACAGGAAGAATGACGCAGGAGTTCCGATGGAGTTTAAATCCAAACAGTGGTTTGGTGCCTCGGTACGATCTGATGGAGAACACATCCTGGTGAGAAACACACACACAGAATGACACAATGATTGTTTCCTGGTCTGAACCTGGCCTCCGCTGAGCAGCATCCATGTTGGTCTGAGTTTTGTGTGTGTGTCTTCCAGGCCTGTGCTCCTCTGTATCAATGGTCGACTTTTGGCGTCTCCGAGCGAGAGCCGGTGGGAACGTGTTACCTGAAGAAAGGATCGACGGTGGTCGAGTACTCGCCCTGCAGATCAAGTCTGTTCTTTTCTTTTCTCCACTGAATATCTGTAATACTAATAAAAATAATTCATCACCTGTTTACCTGTAAAATGTGTGATATAAATTATTTTTCTGTCCAGAGTTAAGCTCACCTGAGGGACAGGGCTTCTGCCAGGCCGGCTTCAGTGCCGATTTCTTAAAGGTACCAACTTATCTTCCTTTATTTTTACTTCTTTCACAGTGTTTGTACATTGTGGTATTCATACTTTCGCTGAAGTAAAGGTCCTGAATACTTCCTCCACCACTGACCTGAGCAGCCAATAATGCAGTATTTATACTCATGCGTTGACTCAACGCTGTAGCCTGACATGCACCACCCCAGAAATGTAACTATGTGTCACGGCAAGTAAGCTGAAACCATTTCCCTCAGTGGAAACAAAACTTTTATTTACTTTAATTTCACAGATAAGAAACAATAAATTGTGAAGACAATAAAGCCTCCAAAAAATACCATTTTAAGTCTTGTGTGTGATTTATCCTGGCTTCATATGAGCAGAGGAAATCTCCGAAAGCTGCTAGGCTAATTTATACAATGTAAAATGCCATAGGCTTGTGCTAATAACGTTAGCATGTTGTATTCGTTTGGAAAATGTGTCCAGATAAAGACAAGTGTTTGTCTGTGAATGCTGCGAGTGTGTTTAATGTGTGTTTTTAATCAATTAAACTTTATAGCACTTCATAGCAACTCCACCATCTTGGAGGTGTAACTGCAGAGTGACACAGACAGACCACAGCACAAGTATAAATGCTCATAACAGCGTAGGCCCGTGCATAGGCTACGGCGTAGAGCTGAGGCACAACATAAATTCAGCTTAAGAAGTGAAAGTAATAAAAATCTCTCTTATATGTCCGTGTGTCTCCAACGCGATGCATCAGTACGTATTCTTGCTTTTATCATCTTTGTATATCTTGAAACTCAGTAGGAGTTTGATTCCAAAAACACATCCATGTTTTCACAGATGTGAGTGTAAACTGTAACTGCAGCTTGTTCGCTGAAGTACACAACCACAAGGCGGTTATTCTAGTTTCTTTGTTTTTGTGTTTTCATCAGGACAAAAGAGTGGTGGTGGGAGGACCTGGCAGCTTCTACTGGCAGGGTGAGTGTGTGTGAGAGTGTGTTAGTGTGTATTAATGTGTGTGTGTCCATGTTCATGTCATCTCCCTACAGTCAGCAGGTGAATTCTGCAGCAGCTCACTGTGAATAACAGAAGATTAGGATTCCCCTCCTGAAACGCTGAGTTGCCAGTTGGCAGTTTTCTGTCCTCAGAGTCTCTGACAGGCCTTTAAAGGAGAAGTCCTCTTTATTACAGCTTGGATCCCGTTTCATACTTTGACTTTAATCAGTAATAATAACTTTGTGTTCACAAACTAAAAGTACCCTGCACAGTTTTTTCCACTTGTAGCGCTGTGGAGCTGTGCGTGTGTGAGTGGGTCCTTTTGTTATCAGGACACATTTGGGAGTGTTTTAAGAATTCTGACGCTGTAACAAATATTTAGCTGCAGATCATCGAAGACACGTTTGTGTTGTTTGCCTCGACCGGTGACTCGGCTGCATGTTGTGTTGTGGTGGTTCGTGATGCTGCTGGTTCAGAATGACACGCTGTGCTGTGTCACTGTGGGAATCAAACACATCATCCAGAGGTCATGTGATGTTTCTGGTGCTGTGACTCTGCAGTGTGGCGAGCGGTGTGGATGTTTACTCCAAGTTCAGGAGCTGGTTCCACAGAGACTTCACATGGACGTTCTCTTGCCTTTTCTAATGTTTCCTCACTCTTCTGTTCTTCACACTTTAAAAAGAGAACCCTGCTAAGGTCACATCTCTCCTCTCACACAGTGCTGTGGGTGGTGGGTTTGTGTTGAGACCACCAGAGTCCGACTGGCAGCGGTCTTGATCTGGTTCTTTGTTCTGCACCAGGGTTCATTGTAACTGAATCAGACATGATAGGTGTGAGACCACCGTTTGATTCAGTGTGACTGACACTCTCAGCAGATATCATGATCTGTGGTGTCAGACATGATGGGAAACAGACTGTCCTCATGTCTGCAGAACCTTCATGTTTGACACAGTGACAGATTCACATCATTCAGATCACCAGATCTGCAGCACCGTCACCAGCTTAATCAGCAGGTGAGGGTTCAGACAGGGCGTGTGTGTGTGTGTGTGTGTGTGTGTGTGTGTGTGTGTTATGGTCTGACACTAGAGGGTGTGATGGACAGGCAGACAGAGTGTATCCTGAACGCTGAGTCGTCACTACATGTTTCCTCTCTGGGGTGTGTTTGCCTAATTATTGCTTCCTGTTGACTCAGCACACACACACACACACACACACACACACACACACACACACACACCCCTCTGGTTCTGATTAGACCCTTGTTAACACTGTGTCTCTGCGGCTCCTTTAATTACATGTTCTGTGTTTTTCTAAACCAAAAGTGTTTCAGCCTTTAGCCAATGCATTCTGTTCCTTAGATTCTGCTCTGATCTACCTCCTCCTATTGTTCCTTAATGTTCTCCTTCTCTTTCTTAAAGTCCCATTTTGTTCTCCAACATTCTCAGCTCTCTTCTGTTCTCTAAGTTCTCCTTCTCTCTCCTCTAATGCCGGGTGCACCCTCACCATATCAGCCCGATTATAGCCTGACAAAATGTCGTACAGTCTCGGCTTGTGTAGTGTGTCATAGCGGACGACAAGCGACGCCACGTCTGAGACACCTCACGTTCTGACAGAAAGTCTAGCATGTTTGATTTTCTATTTGTCTGCTTCCGTCACAGCTGTCACATTGACCAATAGGAACACAGAACGATCTGCTGCCGTGGAAACTGTACGGCAACAACACCCTAGCCTTTTAGATATTTCCTGTAGGGACGTTACCACTCAGAGTAAAAAGGGAAAAAAGATGGTGTGAAACAGCAGAGGCACTTTGTCAACCTGCTGAGTACTGCCATTAGCATCAAGCTAGCAACGAATGCTAAGGAGACAGATATAAAGTAAGAAAATTTTACTCACCACAGCTGCAGAGGCTACCAGCTTCATTTGAAACAGACTACATTATAAACGGGCCGTTATTTATTAATCCCTCTGTATTTTTATATTTTTACTTTTTATCCGCTCCCATTGCCTTGATAAAGTTAATGCATCGTGCTGTCATTTCAAACTCAACACTTCGTGTATCTTTTTCAAATTAAAAGCCCCGTATAACTTTGGTTGAGAGAATTCATTTTCTAAAAAGGCTTTTATTGTGAAACATTTGCAGGAAGTTGTTGTGGAGGATTCAGTGACTTGCATGTTTGTGTACGGTACCTCAAATGTAGCTCCGCCCATCTGGTGGTGCTTTTTATGTTACTACAACATTTCAGCTGGCACATGAACAGACACAGTGACTCAAATGTTAGTAAAAGTAATAAAATAGGACAAGAATAACCTGATAACATCACACACGTCATGAAAGACAACCGGGGATAATTGGTGTGTACCATCGTGGAGTGTGTCATGTCTGTCGGCCAAGTCACGGCATGATTTAATGACTCCCCAATCACCAAATCTGACGCAGTGACCATCGGAACAGACAGAAATGTCGTGTGGTGTGAACCCGGCGTAACATTCCCCTTCTCTCCTCTGTTCTCAAATGTTCTCTAACTTTCTCCTCCCTCTTCAGGTCAGCTGATTTCTGATGACGTCTCTGAGATCTTCGCCCGGTTTGATGGACACCTCTACACCACGTACGCAAACACTCTTGCCACCGGGTCGGCCATCGCTCAGTATGACGACAGTTACCTCGGTAACCACACACACACACACACACACACACACACACACACACACACAGAGGTCTAAATTAAAGTAGAGAACATTCTCCTGCCTCAGCAGACAGAGTTCTGTAATGATCTATGTAATGTTCTCAGGGTACTCTGTGACGGTCGGAGACTTCAACAATGACGGAAAAGAAGGTGAGAACAAAGATTAATCTCGTCCTTTAATTTAACGTAGAACACTTCTGCTCCTTTGGGTTTCTGTACTAAAACATCTGATGACAACGTGGACGTTCTCTACAGTTTTCTGTCAGTTAACAGACCAATCAGCTCATTGATGAATTGTATATTAATATAGATTAATGATTTATGATGATCAAACAGTCGCTCGCTGACTGAACTAGTGAGAGTTGTGTTTTTCTGTCCTCTACAGATTATGTGACCGGAGTTCCTCGTGGGGACAAAGCACTGGGTTATGTAAGTGTTAAAGGTTCAATACACACACACACACACACACACACACTGATCCCCACAGGATGGACAGATGTGTGTCGTCGTCATGGTGACAGAAGACTGTCTCCATACAGTCTCGTGGTGTCAGTTCAGTGTCTGTGCACAGTCATGTTTTAAACTGCCGATGTTGAAGTGTGTGTGAAGCTCGGCTGACATCCCGTGTTGTGTTTAATGTTTTAGGTGAACATCTTCAACGGCGCCAACATGGAGTCCATGGTGAACTTCACAGGAACACAGGTGAGCTGGAGGACACCGCCTACAACCCGGATGGTTACTGTTTATCTGTATCTGTTTGAGCCTTCAGTTTGGGACCAGACTGATGTGGAGATCATGTCACACAGATTATTAGCCCATCTGGCCCGCGTTGAGCCAATCAAAACCGTTTATCTAATATGGGGCGGGTTTCAGACAATGACTGACAATTTATAGACGTGATGACATAATTTTTCCGATGGCATACCCTCGCACCAGGGACACTACGGTGAGCATAAACCTAGTTTTGCAATAAGGAGCGCCATGAAGGCATTTCAAAAGATGGCTGCAGCTGATGTGGAAATTTCTGTTGATATTTTATTTTTAAATTCTGATGGTGAAAATGCAGACACTCGCTCAGACATATTAGTAGTTGGGTTAACAACAACAAAAACGGTATCGGCCCAAAATTTAACAATCTGTACCTCTCTTAACAAAACAGAAAAAAAGAGTAGTTTCTGTCTGAAACAAAGAGAAATGAAAAATAAAACACAAAATCAGGTAACACGCCCCAAAGTAACAATTAGACTTGAAGTGTCAGCTTTGAGCTTTCTGTCCTGATCATTTTAAAATGGTGTCCGGAGAGTAGTAGTTAGAGTTGTTGAAGTGTAAACATTGACGTGAATATTGCCAAACTTGGTCATGGAGGACGATCACAGCGGTGAGGGAGAGTGAGGGAGAGGAGGGGAGGTGTGATTGGAGGAGGAGACAGAAACATAAATGGCAGGAAAACAGGCTGTCATCAGCAGACGTTAATGAAAGAGTTCCTCCTCACTTTCCTGTCCGTCCTCCATAACTGTCCCTCTGAACACACCAGCCTCTCTTTCATCTGTTTCCTGCGCCCCCAGACGTTTCTCTGATGTCCAGCCCATGTTAGTCACAGTGATCCTGTATTTTGCTTTTGAATCAGCTCTGTGACTCATCTGATCCTTTAAATCAAACTGTTGCTCACCTCAGAGCGGCTCATCAGTGTCTCAGCCCTCTGAACTGAACCAGAGATTTCTGTGTTGTCACATGAACGACAGCAACAGAGAAGCAGGCGTTAGACCTCAGGCTGCCTCCAACAACGCTCAGTAAACATGTTTAAAAAGAAAAACATGCAGGGAAAAAAATAAGAATCTGAAACATAGAGTGTAAAGGTAGTGGATGTAAAAGCACCATGAACAGCTGGGTAATGATTAGTTTTAGCATTAACCCCTCCTCCTCCTCCTCCTCCTCCTCCTCCACCTCCTCCTCTTGCTCCTGCTGAGTTAACAGGCAGTAAATGTGTACATGAGTCTGATGAGACCTGTCACTAAACTGAAAAACACTTCCTGTTGATGTTTTCACGATAGAAGCTGATGCATTTCTGTTTATTTGTCTGTTATGTTTTTACAATTTACAGGCTGTGATATTAAAGTGATTTAAGAACATGAGCTCATTATTTCCTCCTCCTCTCCTGTTGTAGATGGCGGCCTACTTTGGACATTCAGTTGCTGCCACTGATGTTAATAACGATGGGTGAGTCTGTCTGTGTTGGAGTTATCAGCTGAGAGCTAACATTTTCTACTGGGAGAGTTCCTTCTATATCCTCTGTTGACTCCTGACAGCACACTGATGGTTCCTCCTCCTCCTCACACTCTTTCTGCCTCCTGGAGATTTAACATCTCCCTTTGTCTTTGGAAATGAGTCACATCTCCGTCCCTCCAGGATTTCGTGGGCTGTTTATGGGATTGTTTCAGCCTGAAACACCTGATTTCATGGCAGTTGGCGTTTTGTTTTGTAGTCAAATTGCAGGGACAAGTGAAAGTAACAAAAAGAGTGTGATGTTGTTCAGTTGAGGACTAGATGTTACCATCCGTGATACACATACTTGAGGCTATGAATGGGAGCAAAAGTGCCATCTGGGGGTCAGAGTGGGAGACAAAGGGTTAGATAGATAGAAGAGTAGGAAAAAGCAAAGGAAGATAGATAAGTAAGAAGGAGCATAGGGAGGCAGAACCAAAGAGAGACATCTGTGCAGACTGAACTGGACTGGGCTGTACACTCTGCTTCACCCTACTCCCTCATTTTGAGAAGAAACTAACAGGAGAAGAACTTACCTAACTTTAATGGAGGTGGAGTCTAACTGGCCGCACATTCTTGCGAGTGTGGGTTAGAGTTGGAGTCATGCAGGGAGAGGGGGCTAAATTCAAGTTGCTATAGCAGTGAAGGTCGAAGCTGCCGTCTGCTCTCATCGAGTGGAAGTAGTGTCGTAGTGTCGGGGAGTGAGGCTGTTCTGTTCAGGTGTGATGACATGCTGTCTAAACTGTCGTTTTACAAAGTTGATGGCTGTTGATTTCCTCCAACAGACTGACACATAAACTAAAGTGTGAAGTAGCTGAGACATTTCTTAAGTTTTAAAGGTGAAACTTGATTTAGTAAATCGGTGGTTTGAAAGTAGTAACTCCAGACTTAATGCGTCCATTTTAATATCAAACTATGAAAAACATCTCCAACACAGCACACGTCTCTGCCACCTGCAGCGTGATCACAGCTGGTGGCAGTTAAGTGTTGTAAAATGTTGCAGTGTGCCAATTAAAGACAGGCGAAGAAGACCACAAGGTGATGCAAACAATGTAAACAATTCAAAACAAACACTTTACACGTGTTTTATGGGGCAGGAAATACATTCTGTGTGTGTGTGTGTGTGTGTTCGAGGCCTTGAGGACACGTGTGTTGTAGTGAGAAATGTCAGTGTGTGTGTTACAGATCCTTCCCTGCAGTAAAAATACTAACACCACACTAACAATACTCCGCTAAAAGTTAAAGTCCTGTTTTCAGAGCCTTCCTAAAGTAAACGTTTTCTCAGCAGGATGTTGTTAAAGTAGTTTCAGTCAAAGTCAGTATGTTTTCCTTCTGTCTGATGTTTTTGGATGAATATTCCTGCTGCAGTAATGTGTCATTTTGTTGCTGCAGATGTTTCAGGTTATGCTCGTTTGAACTCCTTTATATCGTGTTGGGTAGTTTAACCTACAGTGTTGCATCAGATTCTATAAGGTCATATATTTGTAGTGTGGCTGTCCTGTGAGAACCACATATCTCTAAAAAGTCAGAAAAACAGCCTCAGTGTTTCTGAAGTTGCATACTTACATACCGAACACTTGATATTTGAGTGCACAAGTGCATTCACACTGCATTGTACGGGAAAATGTAGTGTACCACTGACGCACTCAAAACAATCCAAAGGTTCAGTGTGGAAGGACGGACACTTCTCACCCTCAATGATCGCCATTGTTGTGGCGTAGCAAACTTCTCAACTTTTGACATGGCAGCTGGGACAACAAGAAGCCTGTTAGTTATACATGTTTTTTGCACTAAGTGCCAAAAGTGTTGTTGAATAGAAGCCGCCAGTAATGTTTGTTGGGTCTATAATGATGTGGTACCGCAAATGTAGTTGCACATTTGAGGGTTTACTCCAGAGAAAGGCAAATAATTAGTACATCATGATAATTTATCATGTCTGACAAACAAGCAGTATCAGTTGACAAGTGCGTCCACAGGAAGTGCGTCACTTCCGGTAAGTACAAAACAGCAGTGTGCGATTTGAGACAATACCCTAATGAAATTAGCACACCACACAAGAAGTACGCAGTGGACATAGTGTTCTACATTGAAGCGCACCAACACAAGTATGTGATTTGAGACACACTTCCTGTTCACTGTTTTATGAGGACGACTTTTCCAGTCATCCAAGAGGGTTTTTAAAAAGTTTATATAGTTTATGAAGGAGTGGTGTAATGTAAAGAAGTAATAATTCTTTTTTTTTTTGTCAATATTCACTTTTAATCCTCTACATTTTCTAAATAAGATGTATACTTTTACACGTTACATTTCCCCTGAACATCTTTGTGACTTACTACAAAATATGGAGGATGAGAGGAAGAGACGGACGGATGAAGGAGTGGGAGGGAAAAACTAGATTTTGTTCTTTAAATCCTTTAAGTGGTGAAAAGACCTCAAAGTGTTACGCTCTATTTTTAAGGTGGTGTACATGTTCAGAAGAAATAAACTTCATAATTCATAACGCTCGCTGCTTTATCACCAACATTCACTTGTACTTTTACTTACTTACTAATTATATTTAATATAATAAAATTAAATTTGATACTTAAGTACAGTAAATATCAGATACTCACTTTTACTCAAGTAATATTCTACCAAAGTGATTTACTGGTAAGAAATCTGTACTTTTATTCAAGTGAGGCTCTCAGGTACTTCATCCATCACTGTTGAGAACAAGAAACTCTTGATCCACATCTGGAGATACATGGTTTTCACTGGACAGGAAGTAACTGTCAGACAAATGTAGTGCAGTCAAAACCTCTGAGGTGGAGGAGGAGGAGAAAGGAGCATAACATGGAAATACTCGAGTACAAGTACCTTAAATTTGTACTCGAGTAAATGTACTCAGTTACTGTGTTAATGATGTGTTTGCTTTGTTTCCTCTGTGTGTGTGTGTGTGTGTGTGTGTGTCTGTTAGTCTGGTGGATGTGCTGGTTGGAGCTCCTCTCTTTATGGACAGAGTGGCCAATGGAAAACTGAGGGAGGTCGGACAGGTAGGAAACACACACACACACACACACACACACACACACACACGCACTTTGCAAAACACTGCAGTTATTTAGTAACTAAATATTCCTGTGCACACACATGCAGCTAAAGATGAACGAAGGATGCAGTAAGATGTGTGTTAGCGCTAACGTTAGCATGCTTACACTAAAAACTTTTCCACCAACCACCAGTCAGCTTGCTGTACGTCTCAGCGTTCCTGTTGGAGGTGTGAATGTGAACAGAAATAAGGCCTTGAAGGTGTGAAGTTCTCGAGGGAGCTCCCCAAAACAGTTTGGTCTGAAAATGCCTCATGTTATTGAAATAAGACTCACCAGAGACTTTCTGATGCCATTAAGGTCAAACTAACTCCTTTGAAATATTAGAAAACTAGAGGCACACTGAGACCACAGACCTTTACCAAGACCAAATGCCCCATCTCACAGTGTTAATTAGGGATGCACGAGGTCGAATATTGCAAAAAAACACACATTCGGTATTCAGTGGAATAAGTTAAAAGCAAGGCCGAATAATAGCAGCGTGTTTTGATAACACAATCAAACAGCGTGCCGTGACGCGCGGCGTAAAATGTCGGCAGTGTGGCAATCCGTCCCTCACTGCACTCGCATTTGCGACTAAAAATAGTTTTGAGCGAGCAAAATAGGCTTAAATCATTCAGCACGCTGTGCGAGCAGCCTACAGATTTCAACCAGCAGCAGAAACGAACGGCGAATCCCACTGATTGTGGGTTGAACGGGGGTCACAGACACAGACAGTAACGTTAATGTATTCCTGTCAAATACGGCGGCCATCGGCTTACCGGTGACGGAGAAGTCGGCTCCAATAATGTCCTCTTCTTGGTGTCATGACTGCCCAAAAGTACCTGAACAGCTGAGCCAGCCGAACACAGGTATGTGACGTGTCAGAGGAGAAACGAGCCGTTCACGGTCCACAAATCTCACCGCACTTTAGGGACTGTTCTTTACTTATGAAGGGACTGTTCTTTACTTGTCAGGGGAGGAGGGTGGCTGGTTGATTTTTATTTTATTTATTTATTTTATTTTGATCCCCCCTATGTTAATCACTAATTGATGCTGTTTTTGAAGTATGAATAAGTCAATAAGTAATTTATTCCATTGAAATATCATTGATGTATTATAGAAAAGTGATTTATCTTTTCATAAATGACAAAAGGCACATCTGCCTCATTTTAGCTGTGGTATCCTGATACTACTCAGAACCATGATATTTTCATTGGTATCATACAGTGGGTCCCAATTTTGGTACCATGACAACACTAATCTGGAGGGGGTTCATCTGCAGAAACTAATGAAAAACTAAACAACGATATTCGGTATTCGGTACTCGGTATTCGGCCAAGCGTTTAATATTATTCGGCTTCGGCCACAAATTTTCATTTCGGTGCATCCCTAGTGTTAACGAAAGAAAACAATAATCTGTGGATCCCTGTGATTCAGATCAACTTCACTGGGTTCTCCCTCAGCCCAGGCTTCACCCTTCTACCAAGCTTCATGAAAATCGGCAGTCAGGTTTTATTGTAATCCTGCTGAGGAACAAACCAAACTGAAAATAAAAGGAATATTTCAACTTCAAGGGACTATGTGTGTATCAGTTACTCACCGTGAGAAAACTGTTTCTCTTGTGTCTCCACGTTGACCGAAGAATCCAAAAAAAGCTAAATTCTTCACAAACTGAAGTAACCAGGGTCCACCTGTAACATCAGCAAACTGTATCAAAACATCTGTTTACAAATGCTCACACAGCTGGTTCAGAATTATCCAGGTCTCATTTCACAGTTGTGTGATCAGCTCTTCACAAGCGTGGCCTGAACATGCCTGAGCAGAGTTCAAACACACGCACATGCTCAGGTACACTACTCGTCCGTGCATGAGATCAAAATATTGTAGGTGAAAGTCGTCTGAACCAGTTGTGTGAGAGTTTGTAAACAGATGTTTTGATATGGTTTTGCTGTTGTTAATCGAATGTTCCCTTTTTGGATTCTTCAGTCGCAAAGTTTTCTTCATGAATTCAACATAAAACAGGAAGTCACTGATATACACACAGTCTTGTTGCTTGTGAATTATTACTTTAAAGGAAAAAATAACCAAATAACCTCCCTATTTACTGCAGCTGACAGTCTGTGTGTGTGTGTGTGTGTGTGTGTGTGTGTGTGTGTGTGTGCGCGCGCGCACATGTGTCCTCCAGGTGTCGGTGTACCTGAGCAAGGGAGGGTTTTCCTTCCAACATCCTCAGTTGCTCACAGGGTCGGATGATTACGCCAGGTACGGCTCTGCCATCGTAGCGCTGGGAGACCTGGACAAGGACGGCTTCAACGGTAAGACACACACAGACACACACAGTCCCTGACATGGATCGTTTCCTGCTCCACCTCACGTCTCCTGTCTCCCTCCAGATGTGGCCATCTCTGCTCCTTATGGAGGCCCCGACCGTCACGGTTTGGTCTACATCCACAATGGCCGCCCTGGAGGACCTGACCCCACACCTTCACAGGTAAATACCACAGACATGGTCTGAGTCTGCAGATTTACACTGTGCTGTGTCACGTTAACTGTGTGTCTCGTCCCTCAGGTCCTGCAGGGGAAGTGGGCGTCCAGCTACATGCCGGCTAGCTTTGGATATGCCATGTCTGGAAACACTGACATAGACCAGAATGGATACCCAGGTACACACACACACACACACACACACACACACACACACAGCAGGGATCACATGAACTGCTGTTGTGTAAAAAGCTGATGTGTGTCTCTGTCTTTCAGATTTAATAGTGGGAGTGTTCGGAGCAGACAAAGCTGTTTTATACAGGTAATCCTACTGTGTGTGTGTGTGCATGTGTGTGCGTGTGTGTGTGTGTGTGTGCAGCCCCTGCTGAGGCTGTGTGTGTGTGTGTGTGTCTGTGAGCAGTTTAATGAGCGAGGCCACCTCTGATATCAAAGAGTTTTCTCCTACTGACTTTATAGATGCTATTAGGAGACGTTTAACCCCTTCAGCAGAGAAACATGCGCCTGTTTAGACCTGAAACTAACATGTGATCCGACCTCAAATGTACAGCAACGACCACGAGGGCGCATTGTGATCCAATCACTGAAAACACTTGCTGAGGTGGTCTGGGACGCATTTGACCACGTATCTTTTGTAGTGTCCACAGTGATGCATCCTAATTCATCCCTGTCAAGAAGATAACAGGAAACACATCATCGCTGCAGGACATGGTGGTTGTTTCGCCTGCTAACACTCTACAACCTGCCTATTTTACAACGGTTTAGACAGTTTGTTTCCATCATTTTGCCCTGTAGAAGGAGACGTGTTGAATTCTGCAGACAGTCATATCTCCAGCTCTACCGACACAATCGCTAACATAGGTAGCAAGCATGTTAGCAAACAGCTAGCCACAGTGTGGATGTACTAACTCAGTTTGTTATCGTATGTGACGTAGGCAGAAGCAAAATCTGAAGACAAGTCAGCTGGAGACAAATGATAGATAAAGGTGTGAGCTGTGACGGACATTCATGAGGACTTGATTGGATGTCAGTATTCGTTCAACATTTAAAGTATTTGCAGCCCAGCCTCCCACATGTGAACTTTGATAGTTTAGTTTTAGTGTGAGTGTGAGCTCCGTGCTGGGGAGCAGCTGGTCTGAAGGTTAAAACAAACGCACAGTGACAGGGCTAACTGTTAGCATCACACGGATGATGGTTATTAACAGGTTTAACGATGGTGTCGAGCTGTTTCAGTGTTGGCTTGAGTTTAATGAGACCGTTAAACGTCCCAGTGTCGGATTTAGCCCCTGCTGTGTTAGCTCGTGCCGACTGAGCAGTTGTTGAATTTACTGGTGCTGATACCTGTGTAACGGCAGCAACAGAAAGTTTGCTCATTTTTCTTATGTTAACATTATATTTATGAATTCATGGGCTTTGTAGAGACTGGTTGTTCAATACATGAATCTCTTGTTGTATTTACACTTATTTTACATTCGAAGATAGATATGTCTATTTCACACATTTTGTCCGTCACTGCCCTCATACTTCCATGTGTTCTTTGTGATGGCACAGATACAGCCAATAGAAAAGCGAGAAAAGTTTCACACAGCAACAAATGAGGAGAGGGTGGGGGAGGTCGTAATATTGTAGCTTTAAACGGAGGCAGCATTTGAGACAGCGGTGGTCTGTGCGGCCATTATATAAATACCAACATGTGGACAGAGAATTCTTTCCACCATTTTTTATTTCTTCGTCATCTCTTTCAGTCATATCTTGCTTGAACTACGACACTCTGCCTCCATGATCTCCCGTCGTACTGCTTTGTTTCGTCCGTATCCGTAAGCTTTCAGAAAATGTGCACAAATACGGACAGAAGGCTCCGTTCATCTCCGTCTCTAACGTTGAACATAAATGAGCCCTTACATTCCTATTCTTATGGTAGATTTTCTTTTTGCAAGTACTCGGCTGTCAATTTGGTTTTGGATCACAGAGATGCATGTTAATACCAGTGTATACCAGCTCAGTGTGTTCCCTTGCTAATTTGTTTGTGTTTGTGTGTATGTGTGTGTGTGTGTGTGTGTGTCAGAGCACGTCCAGTGATCAGTGTGAACGCCACCTTAGACATAACGCCTCTGATCATCAACCCAGAGGAGAAGACCTGCACACTCCCTGGTACCAGCACCATGGTGTCCTGGTGAGTTTCATCTGTTTATCATCATCATCAGTATTTTATTTTACATCAGTTTCCCATGAAAGATCAGCGAACCGGAAAATATCTGTTTACAAAAATATCTGTATGGACAGGGCTTTATTTTCAGGGGATTATACACTAATGAAAACATGCTTATTATATGAAACACCATCTCTGCCAGTATGTAAATCCTTCACACTGGTACTTCAAACATAGAGACTGTCAGACTGAACTCTGCATGTTTCCAGTTTTAAGGTGAAGTACTGTCTGAAGGCCAACGGATTCGGAGCTCCAGCTGCTCTCAGTGAGTTCAACAGCAGCTGAATTTTCTAATGATGCTGTGTGAAGACAGCTAACACACACACACACACACACACACACACACACAGATCTATCATGTCAACATCAGTCATACGTCCTGCAGTGTCGTGACCTCCTCTCTGTTTCATTTCCTCCAGATTTCCGTGTGGACCTCCTGTTGGACCGTCTGAAGCAGAAGGAGGCGACCAAACGTGTCCGTTTCCTGCATGGTGGGACCTTCCAGTACTCCAAGAACATGACGGTGACCAACGGCAAAACCCCGGCCTGTGAGGAGCAGGAGGTCTTCCTGAGGGTGAGCAAATGAAACGCACTTTACAACCAGAGAAGAAGAAGCACAGAAAGGTGTAGGAAAGGTTTATCACGTTTTATTAACAGCAGGTTGTGTTTGACTACACGTGTGTGTAAATCCTTCAGTGTCTGTGTCAGAGGAGCTGTGTGACGTTTGATAAGTGTCCTCCAGTGATGTCACTTGAGTCAGCGTCAGTTGAAGACTACAAGTTAGAAAAGTAAAAACAATCTGGAGGTGTGGAGTTAGAAAGAAGTTACAGCTCATCTCAGAGTCTACCACACTGCTGTCAGAAGGAGAGGTGCATTGTGGGTATTGTAGGCTCCGGGTTTTGATGATTCTGCTGCATCGACGACTGCATCTGTGAGCTACATGTGGACACAAAGTCTCACTCCCTCAGAATAAGAGTTGTCTCATTGTGTCTCTGTCTCTTTGTGTCTCTGTCTCTCAGGATGACCGTGAGTTTCGGGATAAGATCACGCCCATCTCCGTGGCGATGGAGTACAAACTGGACTACCAGCTAGCTGCAGATCAAACGGGACTGCTGCCCATCATCGACATGTCTGCGCCGTCCAACGTCACCAAGCAGGTAACACACCTGAGTGTGTGTGTGTGTGTGTGTGTGTCTGTCTTACATTTATTATATTTAGTTGGACTGATGCCTTCACTGCCTCAACTTTAAGTATTCAGTATTGTATGACTAACCTGTTCCTCCCTCCCTCAGGCTCACATCCTGTTGGATTGTGGAGATGACAACATCTGCAAACCTGACCTGAAGCTGTCGGTGAAGAGGTGAGAAACTGTTGATGACCTCAGGCTGCAAGCTTCACTCCTCTGAGCTCAGTTATATAAACTTAGTGACGCTGTGATTCAGAGGCTGAGTGAGCACAGGACAGGCTGTGTTTCACCTTGTTCGATAAACAGTGGAATGTTAGGTGGTACAGTGGTCAGTTTGTTAGCTTTGGTCGGACCTCGTAGTCCTGCCGCTGTCATGTTTGTTCATCGTCTCAGACAGACTTTTTCGGTCTCTTTTATTGTCGTCTCTCCTGCAGCGACCGTGAGCAGATCTACATCGGCGACGACAACGCTCTGACTCTGGAGATCAGCGCTGAGAATCAGGGAGAGGGAGCCTACGAGGCCGAGCTCCACGTCTACCCTCCACAACAGGCCGACTTCACCGGTGTTGTCCGCAGTCAGGTAACGCCACCTGAGCCCAGAGCTGAGCGGCATTTAAAGCTCTTCAATACTGAAGCCAGGACAGCGTTTCCTCTGGTTCCTTCACTGTGTAGAGTTTGTTTCTCTGAGCTCATCTCAAACCTCAGTTACCTTAAAGGAGGGACAGTTTAAAGGGAAATTTCGGTTTATTTCAACCTGTCTCCTATCGTCCTAAATTTGTTTCAAGTGACTAGTGACATAAAAATAATAGTTAGCATGTTAGCCGTTAGCCTAGATACAGCCGGGGCCCATAGTAGCGTCAGACATGTTAAAACGTAAGTGAACGGGCAACCTTCAAGTGCAAAGTTAGTCCACTAAACAAGCTTTTTTTCCACAAAGACCGCCTCATATCGTTAGGATAAATGTCAGAGAACATATAGAAAACGACATGTAAACGTGTTGTCTTACCTTACCGGTGTGCTGCCATGTTTGTTTACCATATAGCTCTGCTTTCCAAAGCGCGGCCGAAATATCGCGTGAACAAGCAGCAATCTCATACCGTGCCTGAAATCTCGTGAGAACAAGCAGCAACAGCTGGAAGGCAGAACTGGACAGTAGCCTGAAAAGTTCATTCATTTATTTTATGAAAGATTTATAGAAGAGGCGCAACAGGTAGAGGACGAGAGAGGAGGAATGGCTGCTGCAAGGCTGCGTAGCTCTGGAGATTGGTGGTGTACCTGTGAATGCTGTGCCCCAGTGCCCACAGAAGAGGAATGCCTCTGTTGCAAGGAATGGGACCGGTTGCAGCCTTATTTTCAAGGTCTGGATGTGACCGAGGACGAGACACCTCCACCTGGAGTAGTATCCAGCTGGGCTTTATCTAGAGCTCACGAGATTTCAGGCACGGTATGAGATCGCTGCTTGTTCTCGCGATATTTCGGCCACGCTTTGGAAAGCAGAGCTAAATGGTAAACAAACATGGCACCACACCGGTAAGGTAAGACAACACGTTTACATGTAGTTTTCTATATGTTCTCTGACATTTATCCTAACGATATGAGGCGGTCTTTGTGGAAAAAAAGCTTGTTTAGTGGACTAACTTTGCACTTGAAGGTTGCCCGTTCACTTACGTTTTAACAGGTCTGACACTACTATGCGCCCTGGCTGTATCTAGGCTAACGGCTAACATGCTAACTATTATTTTTATGTCACTAGTCACTTGAAACAAATTTAGGACGATAGGAGACGGGTTGAAATAAGCCGAAATTTCCCTTTAACTATGCAACACGTTTCATACACAGAGAGGTTTACATCACACATTAAAGCATGAGGAAAAGGAACAAACATTTAAAGCATAGAAACCTTTGTAAAGGAAATTATACACTGAAAACTGAGACATAAACACAAGAGTGGGTGGAGAGGTGCTTCATGATGAGTATTTAGATATAGATGAGAACAAACCCAGTATTCTCTCTGCTGTTACCAGAGATCAAACTGTGATGATGAGTGTTGTGTGTTCATGTACAGGCCCTTAGCAGATTGTCGTGCGCCTACAAGAAGGAGAACCAGACCAAGATGGTGGTGTGTGACCTGGGAAACCCCATGAAGGGAGGAACCAAGGTCAGTGCTGCCGTCACGTGACTGTACTCACCATGCCTCCTGCTGCATTCAGCGTATTGTAGAAGCTAATCTGACACGTTTGTGGAGCCGAATTTAAATTTTAGAATTTAAACTGATGGTGTCAAGTAAACATAGCTAACATGATGTTGTTCTTTACTCTCTGTCTCCTGCTGCTCTCTGATTGGTCCTTTGCTGTCTCTTCCTGTGCTGTGATTGGCCAGGTGCTGGCAGAGTTGCGGTTCAGCGTGCATCAGCTGTCAGAGGAGGACACCTCAGTGAAGTTTGACCTGCAGATAGTCAGGTACAGTCCTGCCTCTTGTCTTTGTCCACAGCCTGCTTCTCTTTGTTTTGGCAGAGGATCTGTCATGACCTCCTGTCGCTGCTTCTCTTCTGCTTCATAACTGAGTGAAATGTGAACACACAGACATGAAATCATACAACCAAAGTGCTGTTCAATTAAATAGAATAAGTAAAATACAATAACATGGAAACAGCAAAATCTAAGAGCATTAACATAACAAAGGAGGTCTGCGTCGCCACGATGTGTAGTTACATTTCTGGGGAGGTGTACGTTAGGCTATAGTCTCAATTGCGGGACTTTAAGGAGCAACTGGTCTGAGGATCTGAAAGGTCTTGGGTTGGAGAGGGGGCAGAGGAGCTCAGAGATGTATGGGGGCCTTGTAAGATTTTAAAGACCAACAGTAGACCTATACTTGACCAGTAACCAATGCAGGGATGCCAGTACAGGTGTGATGTGGTCTGTTGTCATGTACTTGGTTGTGTGTTGGTGAGGTTCAGGCCTGAGAAGAGAGACAAAGATCTGCTGCTAAGAGTCTGTGACACATCAGCATTCATTAAAGCAGAGCTGGTTTCTTTCAAATACTCATTTAAATAACAAAAAACTGCGAAGGAAGCAGCTCACAGAGAGAACAGGCAGACAGACAGGAAGAGATAGAACAGACAGACAGACAGTATACTCTCCTCTGAGTGTGTCTGTGTGGCAGCGACGGAGGCATGTTAATAACAGACAGACAGAGTTAATAACAGGGTTGGTTTCACTCTGACAGCTCTCACTGCTGCTTCAGCTCTTTACAGTGGACACACAATCACAGGGATTCATTATACTGCTGCTAAAACTCACCATCATTCTCACTGTGGATTCATCTGAATGTTTGTTTATAACATGTCAGAAAATAATTAAAAATACTAATGATAACGTGACGTCTTCAAATGTATAGTTTTGTCCAAAAATGTTAAAGATGTAAAACAGAAACACTATGAGTCACATTCACCCATTCACACACACATTCATACACTGGTGGCTGAGGCTACCATACAAGGTGCCACTTGCTACTTCATTTTTTTGTTCGTTTAACACACTTACACACTGATGGAACAGCCATTGGGAGCAATTGACCTATGGCTAAGCTACGCCCCCCTCCACTCACTCAGACACAGCGTTGCCAGGTGTACGATAATTATCATATTTGTACGATAATTTGGCCCTCTGTACGATGTACGATCAATAATCCAAAAAAAGGCCAAATGTACGATGATTTGACCATTTCATGAATGTGTGGTTGTAATCAGTATGCCAGAGTTTTTTTGGGAGCCCTGAAGGCATCTGTTCACATGTGACATGTTTCCAGCCGATTGCACTTTTCTTAGCATGAGATACGGGTGACGTTTGTCTCTGAACAATGAGCACGATTGGCCGAATGGTCAGCTGTACCCGCCCCACGAGGCGCTAGGACCCGTCAGGAAGTTGAGCGAGAATGAGATTCAAAACAGAAGAAGAGGAAAAACAGAAGCAAGGAAAATGGAAAAAAAATAAACCAAAAACGTAAACACTAGAGTGACTATATTTGCCTGTAGCGCATCAGTAGGATTGTTATTTTGGTTATGACGAATGTACGATAATTTCCCTCAAAAGTACACGGCATTTCGCAGGAGGCAGTTGATGATTTTTGGGGACATAACGATCAGATGTCATTGAGAAGTAACCAAAAGGGCCTAAACTACGCATTGGAGGGATATATTCATCATTTTATTGTTGAGAAGGTCGATGAAAAGCTTAAATTACAAGCCAAAATTTACAGGTCACAGTGTACGCTTGTGAACCGCATCTGGTTGCCGTCACCATCAAAGACAACAAGTTAAAGTGCCACTGAAGTTAAGGTTTTTGGCTCAGAATATGAGAAAAGGATAACGGCCTTTTTACCATCTTTACCAAGAGTGTCTCTCCGTTAGTTTGGTGCTACAGTATTTACACTGAATCATTCAGCATAACGTTTGCCAACCTTTGTTATCTCTGCCATTACAGATAAGTTAATGAAGCTAAGCTCCAGAAGTTAACGTTAGCTTAACTAGAGCCCTTTGGACAACAGCTAACAATGATGTACGATCACCAAAGTACAAAACTAGAACAAAATAGGCTAATGAACTCCCAGCAAACAAGGTGACATGATGAACAACGCAGCTAGGAGCTAACGTTAGGCTAACTTTAGCTAACGTTAGCTAGAGATGTTAAAGATAACTTTATATTTCTTTCCAGCAAAGTGACAATATGTTGCCTCAAACACAATGTTGACTTACCTTAGAACAGATGTAGACATCATTGTTAATCTTATTCACGTTGAGTTGATGTTGTGGTCTAACGTTACCACACAACTTTATCCAAAGGAGACACTTTTCTCGGTTGAGATGTGGTTTAAAGTGTAAAAAATACACCTGGTCGCCCAGCCTCTCAGGATACCTTGTGTCAGAGGTGATACATTGATGATGGAAAAGCCTCATACAACCTCACTTCAAAGAATCAAACTCTTTAAATCATTGTGTTGCAGCTGTTCATTCAGTCAATTTATAGGAGCTTCACGTCAGCGTGATGAAGTTCAATGAGCCAGAATCATTTTAATTTGTGGTTCTTTAGAAGCAGTAAAAGTTTCTTCTGTTTAATGTCACGGTGATTCATGTCAGCCCAAAACAACCTGACTGTCCCCATGTGTTTGTATATTTTGGTATTAAGAAGCAGTTCAGAGCTCAAAGCAACGCCTTTCTTTTGTAGGATTTATTTTGGCCATAAGTGTCCTGAATATTTTAAAGTAATCCAGACTTAACTCTTAAAACTGATCCTGAACATGTGTCGGTCCACCTGTGTGTTGTTTCAGCAGATGATCGGGACCTCGGTGTCTCTGCTGATCCTGAGAACTGATATTAAATCTCTTTATTCAGACATCTTTTATATTAAAGTCAGAGCTGTGTGAAATATTTCTATTTGGAAACTGCATCTGAGAGAAAGGATGGAAGCACAGAAGCAAAGACAGGAAGGATGGAAGGGAAAAAAAGGGAAGGACGGAAAGGAAGGGAAGAAGGATTAAAGGAGAAAAGGAAGAAGGGAAAATGAATAGAAGGAAGAAGGAAAGAAAGGAAGGATTTAAGTAAGAAGAAAGCAAGGACAGAAGGTGGAAAGAAAGGAAGGGAGGATTAGAGAAAGGGAGTGAAGAGGACAGAAAGAAAGGATGGGTTGAAGGAAGGAGAAAAGGATACTTACTGATCCTCAGTAAGTGTGTCAGGTGAAAGGCAGCAGCTCCACCCTGTGGCTGTTTTTATTATAGCACCAACAGACCTTCACACCCTTCTGTTTACAGTTTGTGTTCTGTAAACATGTTGTTTATTGGTTTGTTGTTTTTATCACATGAAGATGACATGTGATGTTTCCTCTGTGTGTGTTTCAGCTCCAATCAGTTCGACAATGTGAGTCCTCGAGTCTCCAGTGTCACCAAGCTGGCTGTCCTCGCTAAAGTCTCAATCAGAGGGTAACACACACACACACACACACTTTAATGTATATTTTAACATTTTGTGCCAAACTTTTGACCATGAGTCTGATTTTAGTTTTAAATGGTATGAATTTGCTATTTTATAAAATAATTATTTTTAAACCCTAAAAGCAGCTGTAATCTTTATTTATATAGATTTATAACGTGTGTGTGTGTGTGTGTGTGTGTGTGTGTCCAGAACGTCATCTCCCAGTCAAGTGCTTCTTCCCATCGCCAATTGGAAACCTAAAGATCCTCCTGTGGTCGGAGACGACATCGGACCACAGATAGTTCACGTCTACGAGGTACACAGACAAACACATGAAGACACAGTACACACAGATGCACATACAAAAATGTTCTCAGACAGAGAGGGGGGGATATAACAAATGAGGTAGATTTAATTTGAAACTATGATGTTTGTGCACCACTCTGAAAAGTATGTGTTTATCAATTTGTGGGGTGATTTTGTGGAACGCACAGGTATTAAAAAAGTTAGGATCCCCGACTCCCCCCAACAGAGGTTCTAGCGAAGCTCCTAATGTCCTCAAATTATAGAAACGCTTGCAGTTTATTAATACACAATATAATCAATAATAAAGGATGTTGTATTGAAATACCCAGCAGTATGTCCACCTTATTCCAAGCCGTCTCTAATTTGACTCAACTTCAAATTCAATTGCAGCTTTTTAAACCTTTAATATTTAATGTTTGAGTTATTTAGCTTCTAAATGAAGAACAGCTTCCTGTGAGCAGCTGCTGCCTTTATTACTCAGTGTCTAAATGTGTCGTAGAGAGGACAAAATGATTCAGCACATTGTTTGAACCGATAATCTCTAAAAAGACGATGTCTGTCTGCTCTCAGCTCCTGAACAGCGGGCCCAGTACCATCAGTAAAGCATCTCTGGAAATCGATTGGCCGTACCGCTATAAGAACGACTCGCTGCTCTACATCACCAGCTTCGAAACAGACGGACCGATCAACTGCACCACCGACGTGGAGATCAACCCACTCAACGTCTCGGTGAGAAACACACAAACAAATACATGTATAAACTTAATAAACACCAGTTCTCACGTTTGTTTAAAGTTTCATGAGTTGAACTTCTTTATTTCCTTCAGTTTCAGCTTGGTCCTCGCACCGTTCTGTGCTCAGGTCCTGATACTATGATTGTAATGTGTATGTGTGTGCGTGTGTGTGTGTGTGTGTGTTTTAGAACCCGCTGTCCTCGGGGAAGAACACCAGTGGGGTTCCAACCAGAGAACGAGACACAGAGGGACGGAACCGAAACCAAGCCCGACGCAAGAGAGACCTGGAGTCAAGAGACGCACAGAACGACCTACAAACACTGGTAACACACACACACACACACACACCTGTAAGTTTAATTTATACACAACACTTACAGGATAAAATAAACACATTATTTCTTACACAGGAAACAGCAGGTGGTGGTAAATGGTGCCAGTTCAGGCTAGAAACTGGTGACCTCTGGTGTTCCACAGGGATCCGTGCTCGCCCCGCTACTCTTTGTTGTTTATGTAAATATTTACCAAGTATGATCCAATCTGTTGACACAGAAATATCTAGAATAATCATTAAGGACACTGACACGGTCCATCTTCAAGAAGTTCTCCGTGGTATGAGTAGTAGGTGTGACTGATGGTTACTGAAATCAAATCCAGAGAAACTTAAACCTTTACACACTGGGAAATCTAATCATAATAGAGTTAAATATACAACTGGAGATGTGGTGGTTCAGCAAGTGGAAGAGGAAGAAGATACAGGTGTACTGATTGACAGTTCATTTGAATTCCGCATGCACATTACTTAAAAAAAATAAAAAGGCAAACTCTTTGGTGGAGGTAACCAGAAGAACTTTAAAAAATTAACAACAACAACAAAGTAATTTGTCTATGTGATAAAAAAAATTGGATGTCATAAAATTTTGCTCAGCTCTATTCTAATAAAACTGAAATCGTCACTTGGTCCCAGCCTGACACCACACAAATACTGCCATCTGCTGGTTACCTGTCTCAACACAGTGACAGTAATTTGTTTTAAGCAACATGTCACTAAGCTTATCCAATCATGTTTTTATTTCATCTGCACATTTTGTTCTCCAAAATCCATTTTTTTTAATTTCCAACATGCCTGACAAAGATCTCTGTCAGATCTAAACATAGAATTAGAATTACTAGGAGCTTTTAATTACATGAACACGAACCAACTCTACTCAAAATTAGTCCCTGACTAAATCTGACTCTGTGAAAGTCTGTGATTATTTTCTACATAACTGACTCTGTGTGTGTGTGTGTGTGTGTGTGTGTGTGTTGTGTGCGTGCGTGTGTGCGTGTGTGTAGGACTGCAGTACAGCAGCGTGTCAGCGGCTGAGATGCCAGGTCGGTCGTCTGGAAAGGAGGAAGAACGCCATCCTCTTCATCTACTCCAGACTGACTGTCAACAACTTCCTCAGGGTAATCACAGAAGAAGAAACACAGATGCTCCTCATAACTGCCTGAGAATCATCATGTTTTTAACTTTCCCTCAGACAGCTGTGTGAACATTCATGCGTGCTCTTCAAACAGGAGCTGCTCATCATTCAGCTCCCTGTGAACGGAGAACATTTGACCACATAGAAACATATATAAACTAAAAAAAACAACATAGCCTGGAATCTGTTTTTTCTCAGCCCTGTTATTCGTTGGACGTCATGATGGATGGACGATTTGTTAGACGTGTGTTTGTTTTTCTTTCATTTCAGACTGAGAATCAGAATCGTTCATATGCGGTTCGATCGACGGCCTCCTTCATTGTCATTGAGATGCCATACAAGAACCTGGTGTCGGACCTACCGTCTAATAGCACTACTGTAAGACACACAAACACAGACACACACAAGTCATCAGTGTACGGTAGAAATATGACATAAAGAGAGCGTAAATAATATCAGCGTTATCTAAATGTAAAACGTGTGATTGTTCTCAGTTCTTCCTCTCATGCGGATGCCAGTGTATAAAAAGTGTTTAAACAGGAGTGTGTGTGTGTGTTTGTGTTCAGGTGAGTCTGTCGGTGATGTGGGTGACAGAAGAGACTCAGCCGGTGCCCGGTTGGGTGGTGGCTCTGGCTGTACTGGCAGGACTGCTGCTGCTGGCGCTGCTCATCTTCATCATGTACAAGGTGAGACACTAACACTGTGAGGACACTGAGGTTTTAACAGGAGTGTAAATCTTTTCGTGTCTCTGTCAGAGGGAGCTGCTGCCTGATGTCTGATATATGTCCTCGAGTGATGTCACTTTGTCAGCATGTGTGGGTGTGAGCCCTTACAGAGTCGTTGAGGTCACATGAGTCGTTGACCCATCCAGCCATCTTGGGTGTCATTAGGGTTAGATGGGTCCACTTAGGGTCCCAGGAGACGGATTAAGGTTCTCTTTAAGGGTTCACACCCACACATGGTTTAAAGCCTGTGACTCAGCACCAGTCTGTTAGAACTGAAGAAGCCTCTTGGATGAGAGGTGAAACGTCTTCAAGAAACTCAAGTTAGGTCCAGTTGCCTACGATACAGCACTGAACATTACCATGACCTGGACGACTGAGAATCTCCACCAACATAGACGATGTCATAGATTTCAGGCTGATGAAGACAAACATCATCGGCTCCAATACTAAACTAACTGCATTTATCTTCTCCTCTTCCTCCTCAGTTGGGTTTCTTTAAGCGTGTCCGCCCCCCCCAGGAGGACTGCACAGAGAAGGAGCAGCTGCAGCCAGAGGAGAACGGCAACACTGACGCCTAGAGGTCAAACTGTGTTCGAACAGACAGGAAGTCCAGGAGAGAAAAAAAATTCAGGGTAAAATGGACGCGGAGAGAATTTCACTGTATTCACTGTTGAGTGGCAGATAATGGTACTGGTTTAAGATATAGTAAGGGTTGTTTTTTGTTAAACGAGTGTTGTGTTTGTGCCAAAAGAGAAGCTCCACCTGAGCTCCACCTGTCGCAGGTGAAACCCTCACAGCTCAATATTAAAAGTCAACAGTTTAAGGAGTAGTTTGGGAATCAGAGAGTCAGATGTTCAGTTTGATTCAGTTCTCACATCTGTACAGTAAATATGAAGCTACAACCAGCAGTTGGTTAGCTTAGCTTAGCATAAAAACTAATATGATTAATTCATATATTTTGTGCTGTTAGGAGGATTTTTGTTACCTTAGTTGCTTTGCTAAGCGAACCAGGAGCTTCATATTTATGGGAACAAATAAAAGACTTAAGTATTTTAATTTCAACAACCACTTAATATTAAATATTGAAATTAAAATATCACTGAATATAAAGCATTAAGATATTTTACTTAAAAAACATGCATCTTAATTTATTTGTTTTAAATTCACCTCCTTGAAATTAAAATATGAATTTAATTGATTTGCAATTTCAAAGCAGAATTTGAAGATATTTTTGTCAACATTCAAAAATTCAAGTTTAAAAAAGAAAAAAAAACATTTTTCAAGTTTCATATTTCAAGTTTTTTAAAATAATTAAGTAAATAAATAAGGTTTTTTTTTCTGCTTTAACTTTTGGATTTGAATTTCAGCAATCAAATTTTAGCAACCTGAATATGTTTGTTGAATTGTAAAAGTTCAACCTTTGATCCAAATTTGTGAACATTGACAAAAAATATATTCAAATTCAGCTGTCGATATTTTTAATTATTGCTTTATTTTCAAAGAAGTGAATCCACAACAAATAATTCCGATACTTAACAGATACAGATACAGAACGCCTCATGGGTCAAAACTCGGTGTTTGTAAATGAAACATTGGTGTAATTTATGTTGACATTGGAGGTTTTCGTCGCACCAGAGCTTGTGGAGTTTGGCTTGATATTTAATTTGCACATTTTGTTTTCCAAACCCAAAATAATTGATGAACTGTAGGGGCTTGTTGCCCAGAAAGTCCAGAACTGCTGATAAATTTGATGTATTTTTTTTATCCTGCCCCGAGCAACAAACCTGTTTTCTACAAGAACAGAACAGTGAACTGTTGTTGCCGTAGTTTATCTTCTGTGGATTTATAAAGATTTACATCTGAATCTGAGACCGTCTGAGATGAGATTCTGCTCAATGATTACCGGGTAAGGTATTTTCATTAGCTTCCACAAAGGGCTAGCTCATCTTCCCAGTAATCATGTATAATACTAAACACAATACAAAGTAACAGCAATTTTTAAAAATCACAATCAAACGAAAAGGCATAATTTATTGAAAACTTGCAACGAAAACAAAAAAGCACATGTCAGTGCTAAGCTAAGCTAAGCAAAAAAAAAACCAAATCAATTGATGAAGCAGATGATTTCTGGTCGTCATCGCAGCCTTTATACTTCTGAAACGACTGCCCTGTTCAGGTGCTGTTCGTGATTAATTCCAACAGCAATAATGCAGCAATATGAAATTTGAATGGTTGGCAATAAGTGTCTGATAATCTGCATTCAGCTCTTTATTTTTGGATAAAGATGGTTTCGTTTGCTACGATATGGGAAAATGAGGAGTGTTACAGTAATATATTTACCCTGATATATTCTTTTTGCTTCATGTGTGTTGGGGGGCGGGGGTTGGGGTTCTTTGGGATGCTGGTTTGGGTGTTTTCAGTATTTTTTTTTTTTATGTATTTAAAAAAAAAAAAAAAAAAAAAAACGATCATGAGTCCGACTCATTTCAACAAGATTTAGAAATTGTTTTGCAAAGTTTGTTCAGTAGTTTTTGTAAGAAAATGATGTTTGGCTGGAAAATCAATGCAAGTCATGAGTCTGTCATTTGTAAAATTGACAGTTCGCTAAACCCCGCCCCAAAAATAGTGATGTCAAACCACAGCCAGGCACAACAGGTCTGTCAGTATTCAGATTTTTAACGGTGTGCAAGACGCATTAAAAAAAAAAACACAAGTGAAATAAAAATATTAAACTGCTATAAATTAAACTGCAGTCCCTAGCATGTCCAGCTAGCTAGCTTACAACCTATAGTAGTAAGCGTTACCCCCAAGGCTAAGAGTTAGCATGTCATAAGCTAATGACAGTAAGTTGTTGGGTTAGGTTATGATTTTTGAAGTTTTTAAACTTAATATTAAAGTCAGCCGGAGACATATGTAGTGGAACATTAGCTTAATTAGCTAGCTAGCTAGCCACATTTTATTAACTGTGGCTTGCTAGCTACAGTTAATAAAATGTTGTTCGAAATGAGATCCTGCTTTTGTTTACTACTGTGAGAATTTGAGAATCCTTTTTTTTTTTAAAAATTACTAAGAACTTTTACGGTAAATCTGCCACCGTTTTAATTTTAAAGTGTACGAGTGCCATACGAGAATGGGAAATGCTAACAGGCGTAGCAAAGGTTATAGCAAAGGCTTATGGAACAGTCAGTCAGCTACTGTTGGATCTTTACCGCCCTGCACTGAAGCCTTTGTTCCTCCACTTCTTTTTTACTTTAATTCCTCGTACTTTATCTCCGATATCAGAGTCAAGACTGTTAGCTTTAGCCTCTGTGTGTTAGCGTGATGTCTTGTAGCCATAAAGTTTAGATTAAATACCAGTTAAAGAATATAAAAAGTATAAATATAAAAAGTCAGCAGGAGACTGTTTTTTAACGAACCCATAGAGCTAATATTAGCTTTATTAGCTAGCTAGCTACAGCTAATAGAATGTAGGTAGAAATGAGAATTTGTGGAGAATCTGCCACCATTATCATTTTAAACTGTACATGTGCCAGCAGCATTGACCACAGAGGGCGGGGCTTAACGAACAGTCAGATAGCTACAGTTGGATCTTTCCCGCCCTGCACTGAGGCTTCCTTGTTCTTCTACTTATGATTTTTCTAATAGTATTATTTGTCATCAGATTTCATGAGTGGCAGCTTTGCTGAGAAACAAAAACGCGAGAGGCAGGTTGCCATTTTCTGTTGGTATGAGTGACTTTGAGTGTGTGAATATAAATATATATAAAAAAGAAAGAAAAAAAACTTTGCTATGAATTTGCCCATATTGGGTTCGCATCATGAATTACTGTTCAAGGTTGATGATAATTTTAGAAAATATATTAATCCATTTAACAGTCACAATGAAATAACTCCACAGGAACACTTTTAGCACATTATACATCTTGTTTTAATCTTACGCTTTCATGTCTGTCGTCCCGCTGAATATCCTCTGCTGATGTCACTTCTGCCGTCATTATTTTGTTTGCAGCTCTTTGTTTGACAGCAGATGTTAGGGATGTACTTATACTACTGTTGGACGTTAGTGTCACAGATCACTCCAGATACAAAATATTGTGGCTTCCAAATAAGTTCAAAAACAGCCGCCCGCAGACGCCATAACAGGAGATAAGATGAACTCACTGATTTGTTTAATTGGTGCATTAAAGTGACTCAAAAATAATGGGAAACTAGGACTTGGTAGGTCCGTTAATTAAAGGTCATAAATGTTCAGTATGAGCTCAGTAGATATTTCGTCAGGACGGAGAGACTCACTGCACTGTAGAAACTTTTATAAAGGTTTTTTTTAAGGACGTTGGTGTTTAAATTAGTGAAATACTTTTCAGCCTTTCAGCAGAGTTCAGCAGGACTGAAGTCTCTTCACTCCGTCACTTCAAAATATAAAAACAAAAGCTGCAGTTTACTGAAAAATCTGTGGTCAGACGTTCTGCTCTGAGGACAAATACAGACAGCCGAGTTACAGATAACGTTAGAAAAATAAAATAAAATCAGAGCCTAAAAATACGTAAAATTAACTGAAGACAGAATCGAACCTTCCCGAACTGACTGAACAGAGTCGTCTGTCTGTCTGTCTGAGGGGTTTTCACTGTATTTTATATTAAATACCGCCATCTTTGTCTGTCTTTCTGCCATCAGAACATGTGGACTATTTTTGATGTATGTGTTCTTTCACCTAGAGAATAAAAAAATTACTATTTCATAAGGAGATGATTTCACCTTTGAACTGAAATAAACTGATTTCTTCACATTTGGGTTTTTTTGTTTGTTTTGTCTTCGTATTTTTTAGTTTTGAAGCACACATCTGAAACTCTGAACATAAAACATTAGATATGAGACAAACCTCGACTCTTATGTTGTTGGAAAGTTTTATATTTTGCCACCAGTGCTGGAAAGTACTTAAGTACAGTACTTAAGTACAGCTCAGAGGTATGTGTACTTTACTTTAGTATTTCCATTATCTGTTACTTTATGTTCCACTTCTCTACATTTATCTGATAGTTTTAGTTACTCTGCAGATTAATTATACAAAATATCACCAAATAACAGTGATGTATTATTACAATAAGTTCAAATAAAACTTTGTTGATCCCCAGGAGGAAAATCACAAGCTACCAGCAGAATAGAAAAGTGATTTAAATTAGCTCCACCTTCACACAGTAATACTAATTAAGATCTAATAATTTAACATACATGATTCTGAAATGAGCCATTCTGCATAATTACTACTTAAATTTTTAGTAAAATTTTGTTCCTAATTTATTTGAACTTTTACTAAAGTAGCATTTTGAATTAATGAGTTGTGTAGTAAGTATTTCTACACGGCGGTATCTGTACCTTCAATGGTCTTTACTCTCTTAAATCTATTTATTTATCTATAGTTTTAATTACTATATTAACATGATCTGTTTTTATTTTAAGAAAACAGAATGAATTATTTGCCAAAAAATGACATATATATCCACAGAAAAAACAATAAAATATATATTTTTTTAAGTTCACCAGTCCATTTTACCAAATTCAACCAGTGGACTATCTGCTAATAAACATGTAAAATCCTGCTGGTGCACTAAGTACTAAAACTCAAGAATCAGTTACTATAAATCAGTATTACAGTTGTGCGTTCTCCGCTTTTATCACAGGAAGTCGTGACAAAATGCAGACTTTTATTTTTTATTTAAAGGAACAGTTCAACAGTTCGGAAGAGAAGCTTGGCATCGTCATCGTCTCGTGTCTGGTAGGTGGATTTTGTTCCCTTTGGACAGAGCCAGGCTAACAGTTTTCCCCTGTTTCCAGTCTTTATGCTAAGCTAAGCTAACTGTCCCCTGACCATAGCTTCATATTTACTTTGATATTTTATTACATTTTACATTTAAAAAAACACATGAACTTTTCAAACATGATGCATTGTCTTGTTTTTGTGTGTGAAATTTTAGTCTGCACAGAAACTAAAGCTGTCAGATAAATAGTACAGTAAAATAGTGGAGTCAGTATTTAATACAAGAAAATGGAAATAGGGCTGTAAATATAGTCAGTGCAGGCAGGGCGGTTGCTCTGAATATATGAACAAAATGTTGTAAAATATAAAGTATATGCTTACTCTACATAAACTATAAATAAGGTATAAAAACTCTTCTTTGGTATTTTTGTCCGATACATGTATGCTATGAAGATTCCTGGGTAATATGCATGTTGGTGTAATTCAGTGTCAAGTCTCAATTTGATCATGTGATGATAAGATCATACAGTAGCTAGTTAAGGTGCATAACAATGTAGTAGGGAGCCTTATGGGCTATCATGATGGCGTGCACTGGGGTCCGTTGTAACTACCTTAAGCCACTGGGAAATGCTTAAGTTAAAGTACCTCAAAGTAAAGTCTAAGCACAAACAAACACAACAGATGTTTCTGTAAAATATTTATTCTGTTTTAGGCAGAACGATAATCTGAGTTCTGACGTCCAGAAGAACATCATGACTCGGTGAGACTGTCATTTCCTGTTTCCCTCTGATTGATCACTGAGTCAGCAGGAAGCTGAGGTCACTACCTGGGTCGTACTCCACTGAGGGCTTCCCCCTGAAACACACATCATGGTGATCATTGTCACTGGTGTCACTGGTGTTTCTTGTTTTAGTGGTGTCACTGGTTTCAGGTCCTGACTGTGTTACCTGGTGAAGAGTGTGGCCTTGGTGGTTCCCAGTAGCGTGGCTTTGTTCCCCTCCACCAGCAGCATGGATCCCTCCCTCAGACCCTGGTGATCACAGAGACGACTAGTCAAGCTAACAGGTCATGATACAGTTAGCTCTTTAGCTGGACATGCTAACGAGAGCAGATAAACACTCCTTGTACTGAGCTAAAATTTCTAAGCTGTGATTGGACAGTCACTGTTTGGGGGAGGGGTTGGGGGTTACTTGCTTCTACAACCAGTTCTCACTCCGAAGTCGTCAAATACCTCCACTCAGTCATTGATATCGGCGTCAGACACCAATGAAAAAGGAAAGAGGTCATTTCCATCACTTTGTGTATTGTTATGGGAAATACATTTGGAACTGACAGTGAAAATGCCAGTGTCGTATTACTGGAAACGTTACGGTTTTGTAGGTTTCCAGACCAAAATGGACGACAGTTAAAGAATGACCCAAATACAGAAGAAAACAATTAGTGCTGTAGAAATGTACATTACACTGAATTTTTCAAGACAGCAATTAAACATGGAGATCACACTGATTTTACTGATATAGGAGACTTGGATTAACAGGGGAAGGAATAACTTCCTGTCTCACCAGGACACATGGAGTATCAAGTTCTTCATGGTACTGGGTGATCCTCTGCTCTCTGGTCTCCTGCACAAGAACCACAACACAGCCCATAATTATATTTGTTTAGTCTCTATTAATAAAGGTAGGCTGGATAAGTGATTAGCAGGTCCTGTGTGCAGAGGACACGTGGATGTACAGACAAATGTCACTGGATACTGGGACACTGTAGAGAACTTAAAAACAAGAAGATTCTCAATCAACTTCTGCAGCTACAAGGAGAGTCTTTTTACTGTGGTTTCTAGGCAGATTTATTTGCCTATTATTGATAATTACATCCTCAAAAAAGAGTTATGATTTAGAGAAGAAGTGCGATTTTGCCGCAAGTGGGAGCAAACAGGTGCTACGTGTTTTAAAGTAACATAATGGTCTCCTCAAGTGTATATCACTGCTGTAGCTCCCCCTGCTGACCGTATTGATAAGGTGCTTGTGTCATACACTTAATTGCAAGAGCTGAAAAAATCTGAACTTCAGAGACCGATACGGGCCGCAATGGCCAATCAGCAGGGGGGCGTACTGGCGGACGTTCTCTCATCGATTTCACACACGTATGACGTGAGTCAACACAAAATATTCTAGCATTCAAACTTCCAAACAAATTTTCGCGTTGCATATGATGTGAACACAATGTTTAACTGCAGTTACGAGGTGCGTCGTTTTTTGTGTTTTCTAGACAGATTTATCGGCATCTATCCATGATAGATATCCAAGATAATTACAACCTCTAAAACTGTGTCACGCTGAATCTAACAATGTGTTTATCATGTCTGTGTGCTCAGATTTTACCGAGTTATGCCTCAGAGAAGGAATGTGATTTTGGGGCAAGTTGGAGCAAACGGGTGCTAAGGAAGTACCATAATCGCCTCGATGAGTGTGTGTCACTGCTGCAGCTCCCCCTGCTGACTGTGTTGATAAGTGAGCCTCAGAGAAGGAATGCGAGTTTGAAGCATCTTTTGTTTATGATTTCTCTTTTTTTTTCACAGTTAACTGAATATTTTTGGACAGGTGGTGGCACAGAAAACACGATATTGACACGTCACCTCGGGCTCTAGAGAAAATGAAAGACAGAATACGAAATACTTTAACACTGTTGGAAAACTTTAATCCTGTTTTAGTGAGCACTATGATAATATCATACAGAGATGATTCTGGAAAAGATCATCGCGCTCAGACATTTGAGTCAGCAGGTGACAGAGGGACGGCTGGTTATCAGTGTTCAAAGACTTCTGTTCAATGACTGTAAACTGTTAAAAACCTCCACAGTGTCAAACGTCAGGATGTTTATTTCAGTTTGCTGACGCTGCATTTCTTTTTGTTCACCAAGGCAGTTTTCACAGATTCACATGTTGAATAACTTCCTCCTGCAGGAACATCAGGCCGTTTGTTTCTCACTACAGCTACAGACTTTTAATCCTTCACAGCTGCTGACATGTCAAATCCCAAACAGCTTCTATTTGACCTGAGATGACTGATTAAAGGACGGTGAGGGTGGTAACTGGTATGGCAGGTAATCAGCCAATCAGTGACAGCCAAATTATCACCGCTCTCATTAATCAGCTAGGTGACAGAGTTCAGAGTTGAGACACTGTGTGTGTTTTACTGCGTCCTTATCTGCACAGTTTCCATTCTTTTAACAGACTCTGCAGCATAACGAAAAACAGAACGCAATAAATGAATGACACTCTGTAAACGTCTGGGAACTGAGGACATGTTGATATTTTGAAAGTAATTTTTTTCCTGTTCTTGAGTAATAGACGACATTAGTTGCTCAACAGTCCGCTGTCATATTTTGCACTTCATTATCCATCCATCCATTTTGATCCAAATATCTGGGGCCTGGTTGCGGGGGCAGCAGGCTGAGCAAAATACTCCAGACATCCCTCTCCTTAGCAACACTTTCCAGCTCCTCCTGGAGGATCCCGAGGGCCTCCTACCATTGGAACGTGCCCAGAAAACCTCTAACACCCCAGAGGATCCTAATCAGATCTTGAACCACCTCAACTAGCTCCTATTGGCGCGATGAGGAGAAACGCTGCTCTGAGCTCCTTACCCTATCTCTAAGGCTGCCCAGCCACCCTTCTGAGGAAACTCATTTCGGCATTGGTATCAACATTCTCATTCTTTTGGTCATTACCCAAAGCTCATGACCATAGGTGAGGGTTGGGACAGCTCTCTCTTCACCACAAAGGTCAGATGCAGTGTCCACATCACTGCAGAAGCTGCACCAAACCACCGATCCATCTCAGGCTCCATTCTACCCTCCCTCGTGAACAAGATCCTGAGACACTTGAACTCCTTTGTCTGACGCAGTAACTCTTTCCAAACCCAGAGTTGCAATCCACTGTTTTCCGGCAGAGAACTGTGACATGGGGCGATCTTTAGCTCAATTGGTAGAGCGTGTGTGCCCAATATAGACTACGTCCATTAAAGCAGCTGGAATTTGACTCCGACCCACGACCCTTTGCTGCACATCACCCCCCTCTTTCTACCACCTTTCCTGTCTATCTACAGCTGTCCTATCAACAAAGGCAAAAATGCCCAAAAAAGTGAAGTCGAGTGCTGACTTTTATCCCAACTGCTTCACACTTGTCTGCAAACTGCCCCCATGCATGCTGGAGGTCACGTTGTCATGAAACTAACAGAAACACATCATCTGCAAAGAGCAGAGATTAAATTCTGAGCTTCCCAAACTGGACCCCTTTCTCCGAAGTGAGACCAAAACAAACTTGTTCCATAAGGTCAGATTATTTTTCTCTTTTGCAGAAATGTTTCCTGATGGTTTGTGTTATTGTTCACGGCGCACGGTGAATATGCTCTGTTCTTTCAACACTAGATTGTGTTATTAATGTGCTAACTAGCTAACTAGCGTCAAGACTGTCTTCCTGTTTCCCCTTTTTGAATGATGATTTGATTACAGGCTACCGCTGTCTGCTGGTGTGGAGAGTTATTTCCTCTCATGCAGGTGCAGAATGTAAGTGCTGGTTGGCCGTCAGCTGTTGTGTTTGCAATGTGTTCATGTGCAACTTTTTGGCACATGAGATGATGCAACAGTCAGCGTTCTTTGCTGCTAGTTCTCTGAAGTCGGTTTGGTGTGTCTGGGCCTTTAAGCAGAGGCTGAAGTTTCCTGACTCACCCCCATGTGGCGGCTGTTGGGGTCGGTGTCCAAGTAGTGCGGGTTGATGTTGAAGGGGACAAGGCCGATGGCGGAGAAGGATGGAGGGTAGACGATGGGCATGTCATTGGTGGTGTTGATGCTGATGGTGGCCACGTTGGTGCCAGCACTGGAGCCCATGTAGGGGACACCGTCCTGGAGAGGAAGGGAGGAGGTGATGTACTTTATCCTTAATTTGTGTTTAAACAAATGACACCAGACTTTTGTTCTGTCGTGGATCAACTATAGTGACACTGTTTGTGTATCAGTCAGGATCTAGTGTGTGTGAGTGTGTATTTGTCACCTCCAGCACTCTCTTCCTGATCTCCGTCACCACCTTGTTGTCATAGAGACTCTTCAGCAGCCGGAAAGTGTTTCCTCCTCCTGCAAACACACACACTTCATTCATATCTACAGACACGCTACAGATGAACTGAGGACACAGGCTGATGTGGGAGGTGAAGAAAGGAGGGAGGTTGGAGTGGAGGAGGACATCAGCGTAGTTGAACCATCAACCACAGTGTCCCTGCTGCTCTGTTCTCCTGTTCCTCACCTATGAAAATGCCCTCAGCCTTCCGGACGGCATCAACGGGGTCCGAGGCCTCATGGATGCTGTGCACTTCATAACCTGGGCCAGAACGTATACAGACAAAACATTAAGAAAACACCTAGAGAACATCTCATCACATCAAAATACAAAGAATATATACAGGAAGTTAATATGAAATATAAGACGTACAGAAAGCATACAGTTTAAGGTCACCTCTATATAAACATTAAACTATTGGACTTTTCTTGTTAATAGTATTAGCCGGACATAACTGGCTGCCCGAGCTCAGTGACACTCTTCTCATTGGTCATGAACATGCGGAGGTAGAATGGAGAGCCCCCTGTCTAGATCTGGCACTTGGCAGCCCCCCATAAGAGCATTCATGAATGACCTAACTGTGACAGCAACTTCTGGCCCTGACTGCAGATTGCTCCAGGAGGAGCGTGAACGATTCATCTTGTGGACAAGGATGAGTTTTAAACCCACCAAGTCCAGGTCTCTCATCCTGAAGAAGGGAAGAGTGGCTGACGAGTTCTGTTTCATCCTGGGAGGGACACAGATTCCAACAGTGTCAGAAAGATCAGTCAGGAGCCTGGGCAAAATCTTCAACAGTTGCCTGAAGGACGCCACCTTACTTCAGCAAACCAGGAACAACTTAACAGCATTGTTCACTGCTTTAGACAAGTCAGGACTCCAAGGCAAAGTCAAAGCCTGGATGTACCAGCATGGAGTCCTGCCAAGGCTACTTTGGCCTCTTCTAGTCTACGAGGTGCCCGTGACAACAATGGAGGCACTTCAGATAACAATCAGCCACTTCCTGCTAAGTTGGTTGGGGCTCTCTCGGTCATTAAGCACCATCACCCTTTCTGGGCATTCCACCAAACTCCCCAACAGCGTCCTGTCAGAGAAACTCAGGCACCAGAGCCAGGGAGCTGATGATGTATAGAGACTCTGATGTTAAAGTCGCTTTGGAAGGAATAACTGTGAAGACCAGCAGGAAGGGGTGGGCACATGAAGCGGTTGACAAAGCAGAGGTATGGCTTCAGCACAGCATCCTGGTGTGCAGGTCTGGGTAGTGGGAAAGGGAGGCATCAGCTAGTCCAGGATGAGATACAAGTGGAGGTGGAGGAAGAACGGTCCAGCAAGACAGGCGGCTGGTACAAGCAAGGTGTCTGGACCAGGTGGGAGCACATGGAGCAACACAAGATTACCTAGGCAGAGCTCTAGGGAGTAAAACCACTGCGAATCAAGTTCCTCATCCAATCCGTATATGGTGTTCTCCCAAGCTTGGCCAGTCTGCCCTGTTGGGGCGTGGCAGATGCTCCACCATGTCAACTGTGCCAGAGGAGGGGTTCTCTGGAGCTCATTCCTGGTTGCTGCCCAAGAGCATTGGGGGACAGGTGATACTGCTGGCGTCATGACCAGGTCTTAAAGGCGCTGACAGACACAATCAGCACAGTGATTCAGTACAACAAGAGTCGGCACGCCCCCAAACAGTTCATCTCCTTCGTCAGAGCTGGGGAAGGCCTAGACCTAGCTAGGCAAAGCCAAGCTGCTCTGGAGGGCTTCTTGTCACCACATGGGACTGACAGCTCCAAACTGACCCAGGAATACAGCTCAAGATTCCAGAAAACATCACAGCCTCTTCACTCCACCCAGATGACGGGCGAGGGTATCTGATGATTTAAATCCCGAAACACCCAATGACCCTGGGTTCGTCACTGAAGACGTGTCCAAGTAGCATCAGTAGGTGTATTTTAGAACCGGAACTAGAACTATGTCCTGATTTTGATAATGTGACACACATAGACATACCCAGAGTCTTGAACTTGTCCCTGGCAGTTTTAGTGTAGGCGTCTCTGTCATGAAGAGCGTACGGGACAAACAGAACCCTCTTCACATTTCTGAAAAATATAAACACACACTGTCAGCAGAACAGAGAACAGGGACAGAGTCCATTTAGAGAATGTCATGCTCCTTTTAAATTAAATCTCTTCACACAAGCTCCATTTAAACGCCCTGCATTTTAATGATCATTTAACTCCTTCAGATAAATAGAACGCATTACTACAGTGTCATGTTCTACAGTGTATGTTCTATTAACACTTGTATGTCGACTCTCTCCACACCAAACTCCATTGAAAAAACAGGCATTTGAATACGAACCTACAACGAGACCTCAGACTTTTAAGATAATTATTTACTCATTATTTAAATTAAAATATTAGTCATTAAGTGCTGCCTGTGCGCCGAACTTTGCCACACAACTAAAGATTTACTCAGAGTTATCAGACAGGTTCATAGAGACGTGCGTGTCTGCTGAGGAACACGGAAGTGTTAAATTGCAGGATTTTCGGTCGGAGTTCGTACAGGAGCTGCAGCAGTAAACTTACTTTCCAAAGAACTGTGAAATGTTGCTCTGACAGTGGTCCAGGTATCCGCTGCCGTGCAGGGTGGAGTTGGACACCAGCAGGAGTCTCCTCTTCATCTCTGGACGCACGCACACACACACACACAGCTCACACACACTCAGCTGGAAGCCTGCAGGAGTTTGTGTCCGCTGCAGAGTCCAGAGGTCCGGGGTCACAGTTCAGCTGTGATCCCGCTGACAGCAGCTCTCTGCCGGCTGTAAACCGGCTGTAATCTCCGCTGATAAAACACACACACACACACACACACACACACACACACACACACACACCGACCCGCTGCTTGTCTCAGGCAGAAACCGTCAGCTCTGACTCTGAGCCAAACTCTCTGCTGGTTTATATCGTTTAACTTTTAGTTTGACCAAAACTTTATTTACAAACACCAGTTACAGTTTGTGTTTTCCATCGGCAGAAACAACACTACTACTTCCGGCACATTTCTTTCAGAATAAAAGCATCATAAATCATACATTTGGACAATAACTGCCAAGATTGAAATAAATATCAGATGTTTTGTTTAATTATCTTTTTCATTAGAAAAAAAATAGTAAACCCAGTTAATGATAACCGAAAAGTGTGATAAAATAATATGAAGGAAACACAAAAGAATAAATGAAGACAATAATGACGAAAACAATAAAATACTGTATTTTCAGAAATGTAGAATGTGAATTAATCATTTAAGTCATTTTTAAATCAAAAATGCAGCTCAGTGTTTAATTCCAGCTTCTCCAATATGATAATGTACTGCCTTTGTTTGTCCTCTGTGACAGTGAAGTGAATATCTTTAGTTTTGGACTGTGGGTCGAATAAAAAGAACACTGTGAAGACATCACCTTGGTCTGTAGGAAACTGTAGTGTCACTTTTTTTTGGTCATTTAAGGATCAAACAATCAACAGATTAATCAATAATGGAAGTAATAATTACTTGCATCTTTGGTTTATAATATTTTTATGAAATTTTAGAAAATAAAATCTGTAAAATCGTGAAGGAAAACATCAAATATAAGTCTGTCTTTTAGAAAAACTTTTTTGAAATAAAAGCAGTCCAAATATTCTGTGCAAATATATTTGGTCGTAAATATTTTTTTTTTGTTGTTGTTATACAGTTATATCCTCCTTTGAAGAGACAAAATGCCAGTGTTAGATGGTCGAAGGTCTCCATCGTACCAATCATTCATTAGTTAACAAAAAAGTACATAAATATTCCTGCAGGTCTATTCTCCTGAAATTCATTAATTCATTTTTATTTTATTTTATTTATTTATTTCATTTTTAAAACTTTAAGAAAAAAACGCTTAAAAACTCCTGCACTGCTTTTACTTTGAAGGGCATCTCCACGGAATAAACCTATACTTTTTTTCAGAATAAAAGCAAAACACACAAACAAAAAACGAATTCAACAAAAATGTAATAAAATAAAACAAGAAATTCTAAACGTTTTGAATCCGGCATATTTGTTATCATTGAATTATTTTATGCTTTAACAAAAAAAGTAATTATTTTCCTTATGTATTTATGCTCTGACTTAACAGGACATGTAAAATTGTAGTTTATTGTTTCAGTAAGTCTTTTTTTTTTTTTTTTTTATCCTTTGAATCACTTACTTTTCCCTCAGTGAGTCAGAACGACTCAAACGTGGTCTGAAACAGGTCACTCCCAACAAAGCTTCAGATATATTTTTTGTCATTTGATTTCATGACTTCATTTCATATTAATTTCATTTGATATTTTTATTTTATTTTATTTTGACAACAAAGAAAGAAAAAGTTCTGCTTCATATTCAGTCATTTGACTGAAGTTACACCAGGTGACCACCAGGCGGCAGCAGAACATTAAACCTATCACCAGCAATCTGATCTCCTTAGGTCAAAAATTTACATTTAATCATTCTGTACACAAATACATGTCGATACTCAAACATTATCCTTTTACTAAAGCACTCAGTTTGAATCCAGTTAATAACGAGTTTTATAAAATCATCCTGTGTTTAAAATGTAAAAGGTGAAAATGAATGACAGCTATCAGATCAATGTTATGAACACTATGAAATATCTGACTGTACTACTTTGGTTCTTCTACTTAAATGTATATGAAACAGAATATTTAATCATGCAGCATCTTTACCTGTAAAATATCTCAACATATCTTCCACTTCAGGATTTATCACCCTCACCTGCAGCAGAGCCCCTGAAGTTTTTTTTAAATAGGCCTTTGTGAAAAACAGTTTCTGAAGAACATTAATGTGAATAAATATGTGTAAACATTTATTTTAATCAGACAGAGCCAGGCTAACTGTTCCCTCTGTTTACAGTCTTTATGCTAAGCTAACTGCTTAGCACATGAGAGTGATGTTATCATCTGATCCGACTCTCAGTTGGAAAGATTATAAATAATATTATTTCTCAAAATGTTGAAATATTCCTTTAAGTACCTGATAATGTTGAGGTGCTGGTCCTTTTCATGAGTATCTTTATTCATCTCACAGGCTTTTACTGTGATATATAACCATATTCTGAATTTTATTGTGAAATTCATGCAGGTAGATGTGGTGATTTAACAGAAGCAGTTTAAGTGTTTGATTACAGTGAAATACAGTAATTCTACAGGAGCATTCTGTTGAATCACAATTATCAAATGAACATAAACTGTAAAGTTACAGTTAAATTCAATAATTCACAGGAACATACTGTGATATCACAGTGATGCATTACTGCTACTGTGAGATCAGAGTATACAGCTGTCATGTCACAGTAATTTACTGTAAATGTACAGTCAGATATTTTACAGTGTGGGGAGTTTAATCACTGCAGTGAACAAAGAATAATACTGACCTCTGAAATGTGGAGTAGAAATATAAAGTAGCATTAAATGAACATTTATTCCAGAAAAAAAATGTGTTAAACCACAATAAAAATCCACAGTTAAAAATAGAGCCGTGTAATATTACACTGAGTTTGTGTGGCTGCTGCTTCATATCACTGTGCTTCATCATAATGTGACTGATGAAGTGGAATAATCCTGTTAGAGCTCCACGTGTCTCCGTGTGTGTGTGTGTGTGTGTTTGTGTGTGTCGGCTTCATTAACTCTCAGTGTGACACAGCTGGGATATAAAAACATATCAAAGAGAAATGGTGACGATAATGAAAAGTGTTACATAAGAGAAAAAGAAAATAAATTAATAATGATATTATGTGATGTTTACAAAGCGGGGAGAAGGCATTTTGAATAAATTTTTTTCAGGCACTGAAGAGGAACATGTTTTTTTATTTTGGCTTGGGGGAGGGGTCAACCTGGTCTCACTCCGAAGTCGTCAAAGTGCGGCACTTGTAGCGTCAGACACTGACGAAAAAGCCATCCTTTAACATCAGCAAGACACGCAGCCAGTCACTGTTAGAGTTTAACAACGCTCGGTGGCGTCAGGGGAGAAACACGGCGGGACAAGAACAAAAGTTAATGCGACGAAAGTCCAAGTATGGTGGGTGGGTCCAACAAACACTGACTTTCACCCGAGAGAGCAGTGTTTGTGTCCTGTAAGATCATAAAGCCAAACCCTGCATGTTTTCCTTTAACAAAATCACCAAAATTACACCATTTATCAGCTAGAAACTGTAAAAACAGAAATTGCTGATAATAATTGTTGGATTTTGAAATGTCAGATGGTCCTTGGTTGTATTTTGTGATTAATTTACTGGTGAAGGGGTATCAGTGGATTAGTGGATAGAGCAGGCGTCCCATGTACAAGGCTGTTGTTGCAGTGGCCGGGTTCTCTCCCCCTTCATGCTTAGCTGTCCTGTCAATTAAAGGCAAACAAATGCCCCCAAAAATATCTTTAAAAATTTTTTACTGGTGACTTTTACAGAAAACATGCCTTGCAAATTTTTGCAGATTTTCCAGACTTTGTAGATTTGACATTTCTAACGAAAACATGCAGGTTTGGACACCATGTTTTTTTAAAAACCACCAATGTTGCACCATTTATCACAGCCAGAAACTATAGTTGGATTTTTTTTAAATTTCTGACGGTCCTTGAACACATCATGTGTGACAAATGCTTCCATCAGAGAAAAAAAAAAAACAAGAGAAAAAAATCTGATCTTAAAAAGTGATATTTCATCAGCATCATTTTATTCAACATCTCATTTAAAGTTTGGCCAGAAATAAACTATTTGTACGACAAGAGTGGAAAAACTGAGGCTTTTTTTAACTCTTCAACTTTTAACTTTCAGACATCAGAGGGTACGTTTTAAAAATCTAGTAACTAATTTATGGTGGAGGGAGGGTCATGGATTTTCTGCCAGCCACTCAGGGAGGATCAAGGAAAAAATATTTTTAAAATTAAGAAATAAATTAACAGCCCCTCCCTTCCTGTGATAAGTGAAGAACAGTCCCTAAACGAAACAAAACATAAAAGGACTCTCGGTGAAAGTTTTGTTGTTCCTCCTAATGTAATGGACAGTACTGAAATGCTTTCATTCTTCACACTGACATTAATTAGATTTTATTTTCTTAAATTTTTTTTTATTTTTATTTTAAATCTATCTATCTATCTATCTATCTATCTATAGATAGATAGATAATGCAATAAATAAATAAAGATAGAAAAAAATGTATGTTTAAAAAAATATATGAGAATTGTTAGAAATAGGTGAGCTCCATCTCAACAGTATTCAGATGCTGCTACGTATAATAATGACCCAGGAATAAACAATGATGAATGTGAATATCATTTTGCATCATGAGTACTTTAACATTTGATACTTTAATCCTGCAGTTTGCTGCTAAAACTTCTGTATTTTAAGATGTTCTTTATAATAGAGTGCGTTTTTTTCATTGTGGATTAAAAATGTTCAAATAAAAACATATAATTAAATGTTGTATTTTTGAGGGTTAAAGTATATAAAGTAAATTAATTCCAGCTGGACCAGATAAATATTAACAGTAATGTTAATTAAAGGCTAATGCAGGAGGTCTTTATGATACCGGAGCTGCCTGGTGAGTAGCCTACTTTTACTTTTGATACTTTAAGTACTTTTTGTCTGAAGTACGGACTGAAGTATTTTTATTGTGATATTGTTCTGAGCAGTAAAGTGATGATCCTGTCCTGATAATGAGACACAGTCTTCATCATCATCATCATCATCATCGTCATCATCACCTTCAGCAGCAGCAGTCCTTCTTCAGTGGAAACACAGAGGCAGCAGCGGGGGGCGGGGCTTAACCACATCTGGATGAAAAACATCTGGACTCTCTCTATTCAACGTTACATACATGAGAGGCTCTGCGCTGACACCGGGGCCCAGGACCGACCGACACACCGACAGACGGACAGACGGACCCAGCAGCGGACAGACAGACCGAGCTCCTGCGTAGTTTTGTGGCCGCAGATGATGGCTCGGTGCCGGACGCTTTGGACCGGGATCCTCGTCCTGCTGACTGCCGGTGAGTGCTGCCTCTTCGCCCCGCTTTTCTCTCTTCTCCTCCGTGCTGAGTGGAGCTCTGAGGCCGTGCAGGAGACCCGGGGGACCTGGGACAGTTTGCTTTAGAGAGAACAAAGTAAAAATACCAATATAACAAAGTAAAAGTACTCCAGGACAAGTTAGAGACCTTCTGTTAAATCTTACTAAAGTAAAAGTACATAAATATTGACAGCTTCATCTGAAGAGTAAAAACAGTACAATAAAGTAAAAGTTCTCCAGGACATTTAAAAGTCCTGCTTTCAAATCCTACTGATATTAAAGTACACAAGTTATTTTTACCTTCATGTAGTTAAAGTACACAAATGCTTCATCAGGTAAAAGTACACAAATATTTAAAGCTTCATCTAGCAACAGTAGTAAAAGTACTGCTATTCAAGTCAAAAGTCCTGCCTTCAAATCCTACTACAGTAAAGTACACAAATACTGTCAACTCCCTGTAGTAAAAGTACACAGGTATTAACAGCTTCATGGAGTAAAAGTACACAAGTATTAACAGCCTCATGTAGTAAGAGTACACAAATATTAACAGCTTCATGCAGTAAAAGTACACAAGTATTACCAGCTTCATGCAGTAAGAGTACACAAGTATTAACAGCTTCATG